GGAAGCATTCATGAAGCCTGTGCTGGTTGAAAGCACGCATAACAAACAGGAATGGAAATGGTTCTTAGATAATCTAATCAAGTTATAACTTTGAAATCTTTTTGAACTAAGTGTGAAAAAGAGTACTGTTGTAGGTTGTCCATAAGCAATATTTCGGCGTACATGTGGCTCTTGGGGAGTCTCCCAAAAAATAAGTTAATGCAGGCTTATTTCATGATTTAGATGTATTCCTGCCTGCTGTATTTATTTTTTTTCTTGTATCAATTTGGATACAAATGGATTTAGTTTTAGGGTTAATACCACAAAAAATCCAAACTAATATATTTGTGACAAATTTACCATAAACTAATTTTTTGACCATAAAAAACCCCAAATTGGTACACCTGTGACAAATTTACAACAAACTAAATTTTTACCAAAAACCCCAAATGGATACAATTATGATAAATTTACCCTCTGTTAGTTTCCGTTAAATTGGATTAATACAAAAAAAATCATAAATCAGTACACCTGTGACCAACACAGGGTAAAATCCCAAACCGGTACACCCGTCAATTGTCATGTGTCATCAAACTCAGTAATGTGACAGTAATGGATGGTAAATTTGTCACAGATGTACTAGTTTGAGAGATTTTTTGTTATCAAAAAAAATTAATTTTATATAAATTTATCACAAGTTTATCAGTATGAGATTTTTTATTATATTAATCCATATTTTTATACAACTTTTTTCCTGTTTGGACTGTACTACTCAAACCTTTGTCCTAATGGGTCCCTTAAACTGTACGACTCCATAGCAATGGTGACGGCCGTTATGATAGTTCTCTCCCAGCTTCCGACCTTCCACTCTCTAAGGGACATTAATTTGGGTTCACTATTTCTCAGCTTGGAATGTACGTTCCTTGGAGTTGGTGCTTGTGTTCATGCAGGTATTAAATCCATGTTTTTTGTGCTTTAATCAAATTGTGTATATGTTTTAGCTTCTTGTCAATGTTAGTAACAATGCGACTAAAGAATACCAAGAGCCACTACTTTAGTAAGGTGAAATGTTTCTTAGCAGCTCAAATTAAACAAAAACTTGTGATATGGATACTTGATTGGTAATTGAACAAATGTCATATATGGACGTAGAACACCCTTTTGATATTACAAAACCTCTGACTTGTCCGATTTACTCCATGAAAAAAATTGAAAGAAGATCGAATTTCTGAGATGGGTACAAGAAGTAACTATTAAATCCTGAAACCACATTTCTAGGCATCTTCAGCTGATACTACCAATCTCATTATGAAGTGAAATCTGTTGAAAAAATCTTATAATAGATTTTGAAATTGACAAAATTATCCACGTGTTTTATAAGTCTGATAAATGTTTTGAAGTATTTTGATTCAGGAAGTTATTCTTGAAAGAGAAGATATGACAATCTTAATCTTGTTCAAGTTTAGATTGTGAAAATTATCTCAAGAAAAAGAGGCTTAGACTTTAGACTCAAACGAAGAACTTCAAACTTTATATGAATAAGTTTCAAAATCGGAGAACAATTTATGTTCCCATCCTGACACAAGATCAGGATGTAAGTTTAGAACGTAAGATCATATCGTGACACAAGTTTAGATCATAACAAAGTTCCAAACGTATATAATGGCTAGTGATCTGGTTTGGATTTCACATTTAAAAAGTATTGATTAACTAAATCTTGAAGATTGTTTTGCAATGATTGAATATGCTAAACATCTTCAATGATTGGGAAATGAATCTCGGGACAAGTCACTTTCGAAGTGAAGAAAACTCTACTTATGGAAATCAAGACTTTAATTATATGGACAATCGGATTCAACGGAGATTCAGATTTTATCCCTTAAAGACTACTCAATCTTTTTAATACAAATCTGTCCAACGTGGAGATTGGAAGATGATCCTCTGGAGATTGTTCAATGGCCAGATTGGAAGTGGGGAGTATTAAAGGAGAACAAGGTACCGAGGAGCAGAAGCAAGTGACAAAGTTTAGAATCTACAATTCCAAAGTCTGAGTATCCTTCGATCTTCTATACTTGTTCTTTGTGAGCTAAAAGGGGTGATCTAGAGAGAGAACATTGCACTTTATGTTCAGACTTTGTTCTTGATATATTGAATTTCGCTTTAAATTTATCAAGAACCATTAAAATTTCCTATCCACCCCCCTCTAAGTGATCCTTGCTAGGCACCTCAAAATCTGCATAAAAATCACTATGTTCATCTCTGAATAAGATGCATGGCGTGTTGGAGAATTCTTGTGGAACTTTCATCCACCTGCATACTTCTTTGGAGGTCCGATTAGACAGTTCGTTCTCAGAGCTCTTGCGGAGAGAAGGAAGTGGAACTTGACTATCCAGTCTTCCCCGTAGAGAGCAATGAATGTTTGGCTGAGTGCAGTGGCTAGTCTTATTTTCAGTTTTATGCCAAAGTTCAAACTGGAAATTATTTCATTCCACCATTGTCACTCATAAGAAACACAACGAGGTACACTTAGCTTTTACTTGAACTGTAAACGGATGTTTGATCGGACTGCGGAAGAGATTGCTCTCTAGGAGAAAAGTCTCTCACTTATTATCGTATAGATTCATGCACCAATTAGATAATTTCATTGTTCTTTGCCATATCGATTATTTCATGGGACTTCTGTTTCCACTAATATCCTCGCACGTGCATCAATAAAAGACACGGACATTGTAATTGTCCTCAAGAGATTACTCTCTCTATCATATATATCGTAACAATATATATTGTCGTAACTCATATAACAAAGTGTCGTAATATACATAAACTCAAAATGGCTTCGATAAATGGTTGAGATCTATTATTTTGCGAATCTGCGGCTACTAAATCGTCGCAAAGTGGGTCCATAAGAGGATTGTACGGAACTTCTTTAAAGGATCTATTTAAGCACCTCATAGGTGTTAATTATGTCGATAATGAATAGTATTTAAGCAATGCTACACGTACTAGAGATTTCATCAAAGTCTCATTTGCTTCAGCACTGATTTTAGTAACATTTTCCTCTACCTTTAGTATTCCTCATGTTATTTTAGTAAAAGATGCCTGTATCATTCATATGGAAAAGTAGTGCGCCAAGATTGACGGTCCTGTGATCATGGGCCTACCAGAAAGCGCACATTCTGCGATTGAGGATGAAACCAAGAGGTAGTTTTGCGCCAACCTGGGCCCCATATTCTTGTCTGTTCCATCTGGTCAATCGCATTGGCCTTTTAATCTCATGTGATCCAACAACTGTGTAAGGCGTACCCTCAAGATAGTACTTCAGAGTCCCTGAAGTTCAGTAGGTGTTAGGTTTTAGTCCTCACTATTTTGTTTTGTGACTTTTATGGTCCTTATTTAGTTATCTCCATGACCTGTGTTGCGGTAGGACTACCATTCGAATTATAGGGGTTACCAGTGGTCCAGGGTGAAATCAAGAGTTGGCCAGAGCCAGCATTGTCGCTTTTGTTCCTAGCCGGTTCCTGGCGAATTGATTTGGGTCCAAGTTTCCAAAACTTGAAATTGGTCGGAGAGGTTAGATCTTCAGTTTAGGCTTTGAGCCTAGCTCAGTGGGAGCGATTCCAGCAATTCGAGGCTAGTTCCAAGTTAAAACGGGCCTTGGAACTAGTTCTTTACAATTTTTTTTTACAAAAAAATAATATCGATCAGATTATCTTGGAAACATTGATTCAAATGTGATTGATCAGTTTTACTAGTTCTAGGTCATGGTTTATCAATTAAAACCTTCAAGAAAAATATGCCTTCTATTAACAGAGGTTGTAGGGACATGAACTAAAGCCCAGAGGATAAGGTGATTAGCTTATTGAGTCCTATACCAGTTCAAGGATCTATGGTATTTCATTTGCATGGAGAATTACATCAAAGGGAAGCTTGCACAGACTTGCAAATGCATGAAAATTCGTGGACAGCATATATCAGTTCTTCAGGTAAACATTTCCGGGTCTGAAAGAAGATGTCAGGTGGGTCATCATCCAAGAAAGATTACCCTTCAGATGAGGCACGGCGATCTGCCGAATCCAATCATCAAATAACAGTCGCTCTCCCGAACTTACTATTCCCTTGGAAGAGAAGATGAAATTTGAGAGCACTTATAACATCATGATGAGTACGAAAGGAGCGCACATAACATGTCGATTTTCTTGGTTCCATCACTTGTTAAAGCAATCACAAAACACTGGGATCAGCCCTTTCTCATGCCTATCGACAGTATGTTGCCAATGGCATATCTTCCATTCTTAAACAGGCATCAATTTCTAGTTTCGCTCTTTTGTGAGGTCTGAATCTCGACCATCCACTAACATGACACTGAGCTACGGCCTATAGCGTCTCTAAGTCGTTCCTAGTTCCAATTAAACATGTCCTTCCCCAAGCATACAGAGTCCATCAGAAATCTCGCGACTTTGCAGTCAATCCGAAATTGGAGTTAATAGTACGTGGTTTGGCTTAATTATCATAGGAACTAAACAAGATCACCCTACAATCTACATGTCGCGAATGTTTCTTTTTATCAAAGGCTATGCAGCATTGTGTTCCAAAACAAACTACTGGAAGGCCAAGTAAAAAGCCATTTTATCAACCGAAGGTAAAGAAAGAAAACAGCAGTAACACTCGACAGAATCCAACCCGTTCAAAAGAGCTCTATTTCCTCTTTCCCAGTTTCATGAAAAAAGTTGTTTTGCGAACACTCCCGGTTGGATTCGTGATAGTGACTTGCACATGATTTCTGATCATCCAGAAACAAATTATTTAGATGGAGATACGCAAACTAGTGACATTTGGAAAATATTTTCCTCCATATACATTGGAATATTTTCAATGGTCCGGTGAGAATAAAGTTTGGAATTTTACCTTATTGAGACAGAATAGATGCTATCTTGTCCCATCTTGCAAAAGCGAATCAAAGAGTAATGTAACAAAAGCGAGAGAATTCCACTCAACCCCATGCCTATAAATTGCTCTGCATGACTGCCTCACAGTGCAAGCAAGCACAAAAAATAGCCTGAGAGAACTATACAAAAGCCCTCTTGCTTCAGTTGCCATGGCCTCAGTCCGGTGCTTCAAGAATGCTGAGGAAACCTACTACCAACAGAGCCCCCATGGCAATCGCATGGAACAAGCAATGAGCCACAGCGAGACCGAGTGGTATGGCCAGAGTGAGAAACACCTTCCATTGGGTCAGGGCTACATGGGTCATGGCAATGGCCACGGCTACATGGGTCATGTCAATGACTACGGCTACATGGGTCATGGCCATGGCCACATGGCTCGTGGCAATGGCCACGGCTACGTGGGTCATGGCCATGGCCACACGGCACAAGCTCATGGTCACCACAGTGAGTATGCCATGGCCAAAACCCAGACTCACTGCATGGGCCAAAAGAATGGCCATCACCCTGGCCAACATGCCCAGAGTCACTACATTACTCAAGCTTATAGCCACAAGAAAGAGAGTTCTTGCCATGGGAAGTCTAACAAGAAGGGTGAATACAAGAAGAAAGAGAAGACCATAGTCAAGAAGAAATCCAAGGAATGCAAATCTGGTGATAGCAGCAGCAGCGAGAGCGAGAGCGACAACGACCGCTGCTGAAAGGTGAAGATATAAAAGGTAGACAACCATTTGGTAGCTAACTATTTCACATAACTTAAGGATTAACGAATATGCTTACAAAGATTATAATTACTCCTCAAGGGTTTGTGATCCATTGAGCAATTGAACGATAACTTCGTTACAGGGAAACATCTTTACATATTATCTCAACATATGCAAATAAACAACACAGGCTAGACAAAACTCCAACAGTCAAATTTGCCAGGGTAAATATCCTAAAAAACGAAAAGCTGCTGGTATCCTTACTTGTGTTGTCTAATATATTTATACTCGACATCTTTTATACACCAATGCAAATATGATCAAGTGCCTCAAGGAAGATATCAGTCTTAGTTTATGAGACGCTCATTGTAACAAGAACAAGGTGGCCAAAATTTCTCCTCCATATGGTCTCATCTGAGACTCATATGTATCAAGCTCCCACTCTAACAACTTCCGCGTTTTGCAGGCTCAAGGGAAGCAGCTGTTTGACATCAGATTAGAAGAAAGTTCCATGTCATCCTATCCTAAATAAATAAGGACAATAAAGTGACGTGACTTATTATAGACCCTTGATGCAAAACTTGCACCTATATGGTGTCTTGTACTACGAATGCTAATGAATAAATTTGCTTCGGAAATCTCTCTTTCTTCCTCTGCTTCATGTCCCTTGATTATTAATTTAATCAGGTAAAACAGCGGTCTCGTTCAAACAATTATTGTGCTGTAATTGACTTCGCAGAACTAAAAGCACCACTGATACCACTGATAAAGAAATTGACAAATAAATCCGAGGGATGCTGACAAATCAAAGCGTCAAGATTGTTCTCCCTTTTGACAGACATCGGGAAGCATTTTTATGTAGGTTCAGTTGAATGTAACTAAATGAGCTAAGATGAATTCACATATCCATCTAACAGAGTAATTGACCTGGAACTTACTACTAGTCTCGTTGGAGCAAGAAAGAGAGATATAGCAGACATCACATTGTTGATGCACTCAATTGCATGATCTTAACAACATCTAGCAATTAAGCATCAAGTTGAAAAGAACATGCATTTGTTCAAACCCTTTCTTTTAGCTTAAAGAATTTCTTCATCACTAAAACATCACCTTCAAAGGCCGCTTCTCCTAAATATTACGCACTGTAGAGCGGTGCACAAGTCTACTTGACAAAAGGCAGCAGCAAGTAGCGTACATAAAAAAAAAATGTATTCAGGGGAGTCCTCAATGATGGAAAAGTACATGATGAAGATATAAACCTAAGAAGTTGGGTTGGATAAAGATCATTTCAAGAATGGGCAAGAATACTTCAACAACTTTACACTGTTACCATTTAACCTGCTTAAGAAAAGTTCGATCAGCTTAAACCAAGGCAAATGCCCAACCCAACCATCTCACCTCGTTAAGAGATTTAGAAACTTTGGCCTCACTAAATAAAAAAAAGACCGAATTTATGTTTTAACATATGAGGAGAATGGCTAACCAAGAAGGAATGTGGAAGCTAGCAACCATTAGTTTCTAAAGCTTTCACTTTCTCGGATTTTTCTCCCTTACAAAGTGAACATTGAAGCACCCATAATTCGTCCTTAACCCCACTTATAGCCAAAATCTTGTCGTTTACTGTGCATGACCACGATTCTAAAGGGCAATTTGTGAGCACTAGCGATTGAAGTGCAATATACTAAGTTAGTAGAGATGACTAAGGCATCCTTGTCACTGCCATCCCCATTTAATCAAAATCAGAAAAAGAAAAAGGTACTAAACCAAGAAATGCAAGGTATCATCATTGCTTGTTCATTATGTATGTTGGCCATGTGTAATTAGAACTAAAAGACACGGCTAAGCTCAGAGACCACTGCAACAATGGTTGAAATGGGTTTTAATATATCTTGGGGAGCATACTGTATATTCTCGAATACTGATTAATGTCGACATTAATGAATTCTATTTGAAGAAAGATCCTCAACTAGTCTATGAAGATATAAATATTTCCACGAAAAATTCCCCGTCTAATCCGCTCAGCGTTGCATGAAATATGAGGAACTCCAATCGAAGGGTCATAACTCTCAAATTATATCAACTTTCGACCAACTCTAGGACAACTTAGGTCTGTGAAAGCGCTATGTCAACCCTCACATCTTGGTAAGTAGAAAGTTTTGGCTCACGCTGTCAAATTTATTTCGCCGAAAATGAATAATTTGAAAAAAAGTTTCTAAAAATAATCACTTATATTGCTTACATAAATAAATGATTAAAAAATATTTTCATCGTTTACGAAGATATCTAGACACAAATTGTTATCAATAATAAAAACATTCTTCATTAAGTAATTATTTCACGCAATCATCTTTACGAAAATATTTTTCAAATTATTCATTTTTTATGAAACCAACGGAGCCTAAAATCATTTTATTTTTATTTTAAAAAATCCACTAAAAATTAGATCATAGAAAAAATACAAAGTAATCTTTAAGATAGAAAAATGCAAAACTTGTATACCATGTAAAAGGCGGTCCATATGCAAGAGCAGCCACAACTTAGAGTGATAGTGGACGAAGAGTGCACAATACCTTTCTCAATCGTGTAATTATACCATAGTGTCACATTATTGTGACATTTCTGAAATGTAAATTGATCATGCTTGCGATAGGATATAGGCAGAAGCGAACTGTTTGCGGTGGTCATTATCTTTCGAATGTATATCAATATGGCCAGCAAGGTCCAAAGATAAGTCAATCTTGGCTGGCTAGAGGTTACCACATACTGCTTGAAGTATCAGAAACTCTCAATCCTTTCTTTGACTGACGTGTTTCTTTTTCACCATCTGTAGACATTCCGGTCCACATATTCTTAACAACCCATCACCATAGAAGTGACATCATAAGACTCGAAATACGAAAGCAGTCGCATAAAGTACTCTAACTAGATGCCAGGTTTTCTTTTTGTTGGCCAATAACCAGACGCCAGGTTAATTAGACCAAAATATGTCCAAATATGACCATATTCTAACCTTCTTTCAACAAAATACACATATACATATCTTCCTATTGCCTTCTACGCCTTTCGAAGAATCCCAAAGTTGTAGAGTGTGGTAGCAATCTTACAGAATTTATCCCCACTCAATAAAATATATTATAATAGTACAGAGAAAGAACAAAGAGGGAGGTATCATGTACGTAGTCACTCACCTTATGCAGAAAAATATGGCTGGAATCAGTGTGAGTGGATGCCTTTCAGATAAAAAGGAGACGGAATGTTTGATTGCATCTTGTTAACAGAATATGTTCTCTCTGTCCCAACTTGCAAATTAATTGCGGAGTATCTAATCAGAAAAGGTGAAGGAATCTCATTCACTCTACTGCACAATCGATGGCTATATAATCGTTTCATGGCATTGATCAAAATTGAGTGAGTACAAGAGAAGCCCAGCAAACTCCTAAGAACAAGTCTAACTCTTCACCATGGCCTCCTGCCAGTTGCAAAAGCCCGCTGAACAAACCTGCAACCAGAAAAGCCATGAGCACACATCTGACCAGAAAAAAACTGAGATGACTCATTGGGTATATAAATCAAGCAGCGAATATAAACAACCCCAAGGGCACCAGGGACAAGAAGCTGGCCACACTGTGGTGGCATGCCAGACCCAGCGCAGTGGCCAAACATATGCTCACCACCCAGACCAAGGGATTCCTAAAGCGCAGACTCACTGCAATGGGAATACCCATGTGGCCCAGGCTCAATCTCACTGCAAAGGCCAAGCACAAGGCCACCATGTTAAGAAACAGGCGGCTCATAATGTGAATTGCCATGGGAAGAAAGAAAAGTCCTTGAAAGAAAAGATTTCTGAGAAGAAGAACAAAGTGAAGGGCCTTTTCAAGAAAAAGAACAAGGATTACAGATGTGGTGAAAAAAAAAGCTCCAGCAGCAGCAGCAGCAGCAGTGACAGTGAGAGTGACAATGATGACTGTCGTAAAAAGGCAAGTCCAATGAAATGATCATATGCATCTTCCACTTCTCTAAGCAGGCATTCATGACCCCCTTTCCCCATTGCCAGATAATTGCTTATGATAAAATTCATGACTAGACACAAGTAACACTACAGATTTGATTACATATACATCTACTAGATTACAGTCACTAGTAACTAGCAATAAACCATGTTTAAGCACACTTCTTTAGCTTACTTTAAAATGAAAGAATGATGCATTTATCAAGAGCTAACTTATATTTCTTCAATTTAACAAAACTGTTTATTTTCTATATTCTTATGTCTGCAGAAGTGAAAAGCAGAAGGTAAAGCATGGGAACAAATTTGGCCTCACAATCAGAAGTTATGTTAAAACTAAATAAATGTGAGTCTCCATCATTGACTACAAGGATGATGGCTCTGCAATGTAAGAATAAAATGACTTCTGATATACAAACATCATATATGTAATGTGGTTATGCAAAGTAAGAATAAAATAACTTCTGATTACAATCTTCACATATGTAATGTATGAAGTACAGATCTCTCTCTCTCTCTCTCTCTCTCTCTCTCTCTCTCTCTCTCTCTCTCTCTAACTTCTGATATACAATCATCATATATGTAAAGTGGCTATGCAAAGTAAGAATAAAATAACTTCTGATTACAATCGTCGTATATGTAACATATAAAGTACAGATCTCTCTCTCTCTCTCTCTCTTCAAGAAAGGAATTGATTCTTTTTGAGGGAAAAATAATCAAGACACGCCAGGCAAGCTACAATGTCCCATCCTCAACAATCACAGCGCGGATTAAGTAGTTTCCATGATAAAAATCTGAAATACTAGAGAAACAAAAAAAAAAATTTGTGAGGTAAGGCTGAAGAAAGTGCAACCTTCACATCACTTGCATGTAAAGCTTTTGTGACACGAGGTTTCATCTTTCATTAATCACATTGGAAACAAATTCAGCAACAGCTTGGACAGCAAGATCTTCAGCTTCATCTTGGGTCAACCCCGAGCTTTGCAAAAGTTTCTTTGCAATCTTAAAAGAGTGATCACCACTATCAATCACATACAACCTAGTAGTGGATTTCATCTTCTCACAGACAGCCTCCAACTTTTCCAGGGGACAAAGACCATCTTTGCTACCCTTTTAAGAAAAGACACTATGATTAGATGTGAAGAATGAAACGCTGGCAGGTACTTCTTTTAAAACCAATATACACATACAGTAGACTATGGCCACACCATGATCAATACTAGAGCATTATTGTAGGCAACCTCCTAAAATATTAGGATGGGAGAACATAATAGGGAAGACATCAAGTCCAGTTCAATGAACAAGTGGAGTTATAATCCAAAATCTAATGTACTTGGATCAAACAGATTTCGTGTTTTTTCTCCCAATTGCAACTACAGCTTTGCTGGTTAAAGATGAGAGCACAAAGAAGAGAGAAACAGAAATATCAAAACAAGCAAAACCAAAGACTGAATACCACTTCAAGACCAAAATAAACTATTAAGCTCATGATGGTATCACATGAACCAATTTTTGGCAACTCTCATTAAGAGTCTGCCTCAGCATAATTCAACTCTGAAGCTTTGTGCAGTATTTCCAGAACTTCAATTCTTTTGACAGTAACGTCTAATTAATAAATCTTTTACAATGATAGAAAGCATTACCTGCACAAAAATTACGGGAACTGAAAGCTGCAGCAGAGTCATATCTCTAATAGCTCCATTTATGCCCTGAAACATTTCATCAACACATCCATATCACAAGTTTCTCAGTCAGATAAGCATATGATAAGCAAGATTAGAGAATTGTGCCAAGCTTGGAAGATTACAAAAGCAACCTTTGATAGTTCAAGAATAAAACTTTGCAGACTTTCGCAAATGGAAGACAAACTTCATTACTGGATCTTGTCATAGATAGACCTAGTCACTGCATACTACCTTACTGCAAAATAGATCAGGCCTATGAGGGTGAGAGCGACCTATATTCTGAATTTGGTCATCGCTGCACCCATTTGGTCCACAGATTGAAACTAGAATCTCAACAAGCTGAAGAAATAACTTCTTCTCTCTACCTAGACAACTAATGTAGGGAGAGTTAGGGACTGAACTCAAGGTTTTGGTCTCAAGAGAATCACTCTTACTCCTTGAGAAAAAATCAAGTGCAGCAGGAACCGCTGTAGGAAGTAGTTAATTTCCTTCTTGGTAATTTTTTGCCCAACAGAAAGAAGATCTACGCATCATCTGATTTTGAAGTTGTTCATTCATTAGTTTTCTTAAGCTCTTGTCTCCAGTATACTTTTCAGCAGAGACTGCAAAAGTTACAGTACATACTATACAGGAAGACAATAAATGCTACTAATGCTTCAGACTCATCGAAGGAGGGTAAAGAATTCTCTTCACCTCTTTCAGAGGATATCATAAAATCAAAGCAGTCAACAGATACTTCATGAAGATTCAAGAGTTCAGCCAAGGGGTATTGTTTAAAATGATGATTTAACAAGCTTTTACTGCTACAATAGTATCTTACTATAAAGGAGAAGATTCTAAGAAATCAAACTTAAGCAGACCAAATGAAGAGGACACCTTAGAAAGCAATCTGTCGCAGTGCAATGTAAAGCTCACCATCAAGTGAAAACGAATAGAAGAAGCACCTTTAGAGGATATCCCAAGCAAACTATTGCAGATGGACAAACACCTTCCTCATTAGCAACCATGCAGCTGACCCTACAAATGGACATTGTATAACCATAAATATTAGAATGCAGCAATACAAGTTTGATACCATTATGTCCAAATAAATATGTTGCATGAGCTAGTAGCTGGTGGTAGCAGAGATGCAATGAGAAGATTTATCGCAAAATCTCAGGAAGGAAAACTAAGTTTTTTTCACCAGGTGTACTAATGGGTATATATCAATGGGATGCATCCTTAGAGTTGTCTTCCAAACACAAATGCTAACTAGAATTACAGACATGGTAAGAGAACAGAAGCAATGGCAGCAGTCTCCCACATATGCGTGTTGGAAACCAGTTTGGGATTCATGACAAACAAGTACGCAGAAATTTTTGTAACAAGTCTTTGTTTAGTGAGAAAGTAAGTGTAACCTTGAACCCATAGATTTCGCGGCTAAAATCAACGGATGGCCGGGATACTTAGCAACAACCTTTCTGACAACATCTGAGTGGAACTCAACCAATTTTTCAGCCTTGGGAGGAGCTTTTCGTTTCCCACCAGATATATCTGCCACATTTAAGATCCATCTTCAATCAATGAAGAAAGTAGCTAAATAGTGACATTGTAAAACAACCATAATGACAAACTGCTAGACTTCGACTCAGTAAAACAAGCCACATACAGCAAGAGATGTGAATAACAACAAGAAGAAATTTTTATTAATATTCGTTCTTACGGGGAAAAATTGAATTCCACAAGCAGGGTCATGCGCACTAAGTAGTTATCTTCGGCCAAAACGTCGAAATAATGTCAAACTATCGACTTGCTTGTGGAGACAGTGTAAATAATTCAGACGCCTATACCAGTTTTAATGTGGAACTAAAAAAGAACAAAACTGCATTAGATCGTTAGCAGAGCAAATAGAGAGATTAAAAGGAAAAAAAAATAATTTCTGTGAGTGTCAGCTTCACATACAGGGGTAGTCAAAGGTGATAACTTCAACAGCATGCAGTGCCTTGCCCAACATTTCCTTCCATCTGCACGAATTCACGATTCAATCTTTAAGTCCTCAAGCATGATGGAAAAACATGTCCAAACCATTCTCTTCTGCAGAACAGTAAAACGATCGCCTTCGCAGATTCAACTTCCGCCAAGCAGATGAACCAGCACGGACGCGAGTGAGATTTCCGACGACAAAGCCCAAAAAATCGCGAACCGATTCGACAATCGTGACCAACAAATCGCTCAAAATCGACGACACTAACGAGAACAGCGTCGAGTACGAAAATTACCAGAGAGCGAGCGAGCGAGAGAGAGAGAAAGAGAGAGACACCTAACCATCCAATCGGAGGAAGAAGATGCGCCGGCACCGTGAGCGAGGACCACCACGGGGGAGGACTTCTCGAGCGGCGGCGGCGAGGGGCCGCTCTCGCGCAGGCGCTTCGCAGGAGGAGGCGAAGAAGAAGCCATCGTTCCTTGGCGTTGAAATCGCAGAGGGAAGCCGAGCAGCTGGAACTGGAAGTCGACTCCCTCTTCACATTCGCTGGAATCGAGACGACGATCGACGGTTTTCTTCCGCGTGTTTTCGCGCGCCAGATTATGGGAGGGAAATAGGTCTAATTCCCAAAACAAAAAAAAAACGCCAACTTTCATTTATATCACAAATCTTACCCGAGTTATTTAAAAATTTCATATTCACGAGAATTAAATTTGAGACTCGAATAAAAGTAGGTGATTTTTATTGAGACAAAAAAAAGTTCAGACTAGAATTATCATTCAAGATAAAATTGATGGTTATATTTGGAATTAGTTCGAGGTAAATAGGCATGGAGAGCTAGAATCACGATAATGACACAAATGGTCTCTAAATTTTAGCTTAATGTGCAATGTGGTATCAGAATTTTTAATTTGTTCACAGTGTTCCATAGACTTTTGATATATATTCAACTTAATCCCCGAACTATAAGAAAATATTCATTATTCTCCTTCCATTAATTTAAGTTTAGGGAACAACATTGAACATTTTCATATAGTTCAGGAACTAAATTGAACATATACCAAAAGTTCAGATACCACATTGAATAAATTGGAAGTTCAAGGACCCCATTGCACATTATACTACAGTTCAAAAATCACATTGAACAAATTAAAAGTTCAATAATTATATTGCATACAGGGCAAAAATTCAGGATCGTATATGTCACTTTCCTTTTTTATTGGCAAAATTTTCGATAATATCACTCAAGAAAGTGCATGGCAAAAATGATCGTTGTGACTTTCCCTTTTTTTATTGGCAGTACATTTTTGATAATATCCTGAACTTTTAATTATATTACGGAAGTACCTTAACATTTCAAAATTGTTTTCAATCCATCCCAAGTTTTTAATGCCTTCAGACAGAGGAAATATTAAGTTAGATTCCTTCTCAAATTCCGATTTTACCTCCCCCTTATTATTATTATTATTATTATTATTATTTCTTGGATTTTCCCCTCCCTTTTTTTTTTATAGTTTTCTAAGTGTTAATAAGATAGTTCTAAGAAAAATGTTCTTTATCACTTATCGCCTAACTATGCCGGAAGGACATTATTTTGAATCTAAAGAAAGAAGATTTATCTAGTTTTTATTATTTAAAGGAAAATGTTTATGGGAGATAATTTAATAGATGTATAATTGCATGGAGAATATTCATTTGGCATCATATCATCCATTTTTATTTTTCTATAAAATTTTGAAATACTTTATTAACAAATAGGTTCTTCTAAGATAAAGTTTTGATTGCAATTCTACAAATACTTGAGGCTGAGGAGGGCAACAGGGTAACTAAAAGATAATTTTTTAGGTAGTTTAATCTTGGTATAGATTTGATACGATGGAAAGGTGGCGATAACCTAAAAAGGTGTGGTTAATATTGAAAGGAGGAGAAAAAGAGAGAATTTTTTTATTGCTCTTTGACTTTTTGCAAAATACATTAATAATTAGGTTAGTACCACAAAAAATCCCAAACTGGTACACCCGTAATAAATTTACCTTTCGTTAATTTTGGTTAAATTTTATTGGTAAATTGCTAAGTTGGATGACACGCAGCAATTGACAGGTGTATTAGTTTAGGGTTTTACGCCTCCATTTGTCACAATTTTACAAATTTGTGATTTTTCGTAATATTAATTCAATTTAACGGAGGGTAAATTTATCACAAGTGTACCAATTTTGGATTTTTGGTGGTCAAAAAATTAGTTTGAGTAAAATTTGTCACAGGTGTATAAGTTTAAGGTTTTTTATTGTCAAAAAATCTGTTCGAGGTAAATTTATCATAGGTGTACTAGTTTTGGGTTTTTGGTGGTATTAATCGTACTAATTATATAATAGTGATGTAGACACAACCGCTGAAGGCTTTTAGGAGTGTTAGGATAACCAGAAAATCAAAAGGCTGGCTTAGAACACGAGTTTGATAATCGTTGAATAAATAGGGTATAACTTTTTAGTCAAGAAGAATTTCAAGGGCCATATTACCAATGCAAAAAGCTCGTTACGTATGTTATATTGTGCCCAATTGAGAACCTCGTTTGTCATCCCTTCGGTTCTCAAAACCCCCCGTTTTCATGCGTTTCAAGCAACTTTTCTATTGTTTTTAAATGTTTACTAGCAAAACATGCATGATTCTATTATTATCGTACATCGATTAAAAACTATTACCAAAATAAGCATAAGAATCATAGATGCAGAATTAGCTAGGAAAATATGCATAAGAATTAGTGATGGATATTTGGAGATTTGCATGAATTAATTGCTAAAATGACAGTCAAAAGTAAATTATTGGGTAAAACCGTAAAACTTGCACGTGAACTAACATGGTATAACTCACGTGGTATTGCAAAGTAGGAGTGAGCAAGATAGATTGACCAAACCAGAAATTAATTGGTCCGGACCGAACCAAACGATTTTGGGTAGTTTCAAAGAGTGCCTGTCCAGTTCTCGGTTCCATGAAACTGATGATTTTCAGTTCGGTTCCCGGTTCTAAGGTTGGAATCAGACCGGACCGACTATATATATTTTTAATTTTTTAAATTCCTAAAAAACAGCAACATAAACCGGTAAGCACTAATCTCTATTCTCCTTCTCCTCTCATGCGGCTTCAATCTTTCCCTCTTGCCTCAGTGCCTCCACCGCACGCCTCGCTCTTTAGTCTTTCCCTCTTGCATCTCATGCCTCGCTCTTTCAATCAGTGAGTCGCGTCCCTTTCGGAGTCATTTGGGGAGTTTACAGTCACATCGATGGTACTTCTCTCTTAAGCCTCTTCTTCTCTAACTCGACGCAATTACGTTGTTCAGATGCGTGGTTGCCTAGGGTTTTCGCCACTCGCGATTCTCTGTTGCTCGCTCAGAATCGAAGCGGTGTTTCATTTTTTAACTTAGTGTTGTGGTGAGAGGTTTTCGATGATGCAGCGTGTGTTGTGTGTTTCAGTTGTTCTCTCCTACTTTAAGGAGTTGGTGGGCAGAGAAGTCATCTGGCCATTAGAGGCACCCTCCACTCCGTCGATCAGTACCTCAACATCAAGCTCGAGAACACTAGGGTTGTCGATCAGGTCAAGTACCCTCACATGGTGTCACCGCCACCTCCCCTCCTTGATCTTTTTCTAGCTCGAGAATACTAGGGTTGTCGATCAGAACAAGATGGATGTGAAATTATCAAGTGATTGGTTCCATTGGACCGAACCAGACTACCGGTCCGGCGGGTCCAGTTCCTAGTCTTAGGACCAGCCAGCTTGATCCCCAATTCAGAAATTGGAAATCGGTCCTCCTGATTCGGTTTCCAATTCTTAGGTGGATCAGACCGGACCGGAAATTGATCTCTCCTATTTTAAAGTAAAAAAATAACCTACCGTTCCTTCAAAGCTTCATCTAAGATAGTTTGTGAGAGAAGAGTTCCCCATGGGCGAATGGACAGGCTTACTAATGCTCGAGTCAAGCGACTTGCGAACTTTAATGCCACCCCTTTGATCGCTCCCTTTCACTTCTTGCCAAACTTTGATGACTCAAGCTCGACAAATAGAAATGACGCATATATGCTATGGCAAAACAGAACCTACATGAACAACACACCTTCATCTTCACTCTCCTCAAGGACTTCAGGCAACGTATCGCATCGTGCGCCCATGACCATGCGTGCAACGCACCGTTGTTGGAAGCCCTTGAGGGAGAGTGAGGTGAAGACGTACCTTGGCTCTTACGTATGGACGATTCGATGAGCCGATGATACACAAACAAGGAAGCAACAAATCCAACCAAACCCTAATTGACCTGAAACCGATATTAGCAAGGGCACTGTTTGTTCGTACTCCCCCAAGTTCTTCTAGCCATTTTGAACGCACCCCACTTCTTGAGTTGATTAGTAGGCTAGAAGCCCTTGAGGGAGAGTGAGCAACCAATGCCTTGTAAAAGTTGCAACTCACGAGTCATGAGCCCCTCTTTTCACTCATGTTTTTGTCTTGTCCCATGCTTGCTCTCAATCCCTCTTTATATAGGCCTTCCCAAGGGGAGGAAATTTTTTGCGTACCTGAAAAGGGTATGTACCACTTGGTAGGGACCCCATATAAATGATCTTCGAGAAAAGATTGGTTTTTTATTCGCTCTAGTGTTTGTGTATCTTGTGTGATTTTGTCCCACTACTAAAGTCGCACAACATCTCCTAAGCAGTTGACTTATCAATTATGCAAATCCAAAGTCCATCTAGCCTCGTATTTTTATCTCGTCCTTGGAAATTAGTCCTTTGTGTCCAATCTCAATTTAGAGGATGCGATAAATAAAGATGTCATAACTTGATTCCGAAATGGCAATAGCCTCTCATAGTCATCACTCATCTTTGTAACTCAAATTGTCCGAGTACAGCGGCACCTCCTCCTCATGAACCATGGAGGCCAATTGAGGCAGTACCTGGCCTCAATTTCTCACTGGCGGCAGCCTTGATTAACATATCTGATGGATTTTCAGCGCCAAGAAAGAAATGAAAATAATTATCAGTGGGGCAACTGGGTCGCACTTGCCTAAGATACCAATTTTATGCATATCGGCGATAACATGAAAGTAGGGATGTAGGGGAATGTCAAAGTGGAATATGCTTGTGGATTGACTACCCGAAAAAGGTAAGACATGCACAAGAGAGGCAAGAATAATGAGATGTTAATAAAAATGGGCATTGCCTTCTCAAGGTCTTTAAGGGGCGCCAGAAATTTTGACGTTGGTTCACTTAATTGACTGTTAATTTTCCTTGCACATTACATTGTAAACTACAACAACAAATTTGCAATAAACATGTCGAAGAAGAAAGTCGTATGCGCATATCAATTATCACGACTCACAAGTTTTCCCCTGGAACGGGATTGTTCATGATCGAGAGAAAATGGATGAGTACTTTGGTTTAGGATACGAGGATTAAATTGACTGGTGTAAATATAGTTACCTTAGCTGATATTTGTTCTTTTCCCCTGATAATTTCGTGGAATCTTGACGCACCATTGTGATTAAAGTTAGAAGACCAACTTTAGTTCCTCGAAAATCAGTCACGTGTGGTTAGAACAAAAATCGGATAGGCTTTGGATTCGCATATGTGCGAGGGAATTTTGTTATCTAGTTTGACTTCTTGCATGTTGGGATGCTGCTACAAAATTGTTCTCAACTAGTTTCAGCTGGTGAATTATTCGACATCTCTTATCACAGACCCACCCACCCTCAACCCGCCCACCGAAACCCATGACGAATCAATTAGAATTTACTATTTACCAACCCACTCAAAATTCTAATCTGAGCTCGAAAACTGCAAGTTAGAAGAATAAATTAACTGCATTGTGCTAAGCACAATATCCCATAGCGTTTCTCCTTTGTAAAAATCAGGTTTACAAAAGGAACGCATGATGTGTGTTGAATTTATGTCTCGAATTTGAGCTCGCGTAACAAATTCACTTTTCTATTCAGCTGATTTCGGATGCAGGGGCTCACGGTTATTTATTTATTTATTTTTTGGTCAGAAAACGAAACGAATTTCAATACTGAAAATAAGTACGTGGATACACTTCGTTTGCTTCAGAACAAAGAAGCTCTAAGACGGGTGAGGGGGGGTTCAAAAGCCAATTTTATGATAATTTATTTTTACTCTGAGCTTTAACCACTCAATCAGCAACTCTATTGGACTCTCTATTAATATAGGTTAACTTTAAATCCTTGAAAGATTTGAGGAGCGAGTGGGCTTTTTTGATAAGGCCTTGTATTTCCCAGCCGATTTGAGCTCCGCCAGTGAGTGCGCTTATCAAATCAAAATGGTCTGACTCCACTTTAAGTGAGACTTTAGTTCGCGTGGAGAAATACATTAGAGTTTCCACCATGGCTTGCGCCTCCGCCTGAGCTGCTGAAGACGCCTCAATAGATCGCGCGAAGCCATCAATTAGTTTCCCAGAGTTATCTCGGCAGACACTCACCACTGCACCTTCATTTGTTCTAGGCAAGTAGGCTCCATCAATATTAATTTTTAGTTCTTCCGGTTCTGGTAGCCGCCATTGATGGAGGCGGAAGCTTGCTGCTGTTGTAGTTTTCTTCTTTCCAGGGAGCCACCGATCATGATTTCGTTTCATTGCAGTTGCTTCAGCCATTACTTCCTCTGGGTTTGGCTTTTGCGCTCGAAAAACAAAGTGGTTTCGAGTTTTCCAAATTTGCCAAAGAACAAACGTTAGAAGCTCAAAAGTAACCGAGGTATGTTTAAATTCAGCTAACCACACTTCGAATCGCGTCAAACCTTGAGCGGAGACATTAATGTTCAAAGCTGTATTTTTCCAGATTTTCCTCGTCCATGGACAAAGAAAGAGAGCGTGTTCTATCGTTTTAGGGCTTTGATTGCAGAGGCTACAGAGGGGGTGAGGTAAGATTTTCCTTCTGAAAAGGTTATCCTTGGTAGCAAGGGCATTTTGGCAAGCGCTCCATAGAAAATTTTTTATTTTGGGGTACGTGTGGGATTGCCATATCTTCATCCACAGTGATTTGGGGATTTGATAAGAGGAAGATGCATTTTCTAAAGCTTGGTTGGTTGTTTCCTCTATACTACTGTTATATGCACTCTTTACTGTAAAACTTCCTAATTTTGAAGGTGTCCACGCCATTCTATCTTCCATTTCCTGGCTACCCAAGGCAATAGCTAAGATTTCATTGCTGGTATCCGGATCAAAAAGTTCCAGTACTAGTTGCTCATTCCAGCATTCCTCTTCTTTTATAATTAGATCTGACACCATTCTAGGTTCGTTTATGTTCGAGGGTCCCCCAATCAAACCCCGTTTAAGCCATCTATTTTCTCCAATATTAATCTTTTCCCCATTACCAACTACCCATCTGATTGATGGTTGTATGGCATCTCTTCCAATAACAAGGTTTTGCCATCCCCAAGAAGGTCTACTTCCTTTCCTAGCACACCAGAAATTCTCTCTTCGGAAATATATTCCTTTTAGAAAACAACTCCACAAAGACGAAGGATCTTGCGATATCCTCCACGCTTGTTTTCCCAACATAGCTTTGTTAAAAGTCAATAGATCTCGAAACCCAAGGCCTCCGGCATCCTTTCTATACTTCAAGGTTTCCCACCTTTTCCAATGCAAATCCGTTTGCTTTATGTTGTTTTTCCACCAAAACGCAGCTATCTTTTTCTCGATAGCTCGGCAAATGGAGACTGGAATTTTGAAAATCGACATCGCATACTGAGGTAATGCTTGTACTACTAATTTAATGAGGACTTCCTTTCCCGTTTTCAATATCAAATTTTCCTTCCAACCTTCAAGCTTCTTGTTTACTCTCGCGGTAATCCAAGCAAACATCTGTTTTTTCGATTCCCCCCAATCAGATCGAATGCCTAAATATTTGCCCATTTTTTCTATCTCCGGGACCCTCAGTTGTTCTGCTATATTTCTTCTCAAATTCTGTGGGCACTCCTTACTGAAAAAGATTCCCGACTTGTTTAAATTGACTGCTTGGCCTGAAACAAAGCAGTATTGGTTCAGAACTGAAGCAATATTTTGGCATTCAGTGATTGTCCCATCTAGAAAGAATATTGAGTCATCAGCGAATAACAAGTGGGATAAAGTGGGGCAATAATTATTGAAACAAATTCTTTTGATGCTTTCATCCCCCATAGCTTTTTTCATCAGCAGAGACAGTACATTGGCAACCAATATAAATAGATAGGGGGATAACGGATCACCTTGTCGGATACCCCTCGAAGGTTGAAAGTAGGGCAATGGCTCTCCATTTAATTTAACACTGAAAGTCACCGTGGAAACACATTGCATTATCCAGTTTACCCATTTTGTGCAAAAACCAAATTTCAGCAAGCAAGCTTCCAGGAAATCCCACTCTATTCGATCGTACGCTTTTTTCATATCTAGTTTCAGCACCGCCTGGAACTTTCTCTTTCTCTTTCTCACCCTTATCTGATGAAGCACCTCTTGGACAATTAGGATATTGTCTTGAATTTGTCATCCACTAACAAAAGCACTTTGCTCTTCACATATCAAATCTGGAAGCCAAGGCTAGCTTTAGTCTGTTAGCCAAGACTTTTTAGATGATTTTATAAATAAAATTGCACAAACTTATAGGGCGATACTGTTCCAATCTCTCCGGGTTAGGTACTTTGGGAATAAGGGAGATATGAGTCTTGTTTAAATTTGGATTTAACATTCCAGACGTAAAGAAATTCTGCACCTCCTTGAATACATCCTGCTGAACCTCTTCCCAAAAGTGTTGATAGAATTGCCCATTTAGTCCATCCGGCCCTGGTGCCTTAGTGGATCCCAACTGGAAAACTGCTGCCTTTACTTCCTCTAGTGTCACTTCAGTTGTTAGACAACAGTTTATTTCTTCTCCAACCAAGCTGTGACAATTTTCTAACACTAGTTGAAAACTGCGGGGGCCCTCCGAAGTATAAAGGTTCTGAAAGAAATTCTCCGTTGATTGCTTTAATTGATCAACATCTCGTATCCATTCCTCATTTTCAGATTTCAACATTGTAATTCTGTTCCTCTGCCGTCTTTGTATGGTGGTAGCATAAAAATACTTCGTATTTTTGTCTCCCTACTTTAACCAATTTATTCTCGATCTTAATCCCCAGTACATTTCTTCCTGCCTCCACAATTTTTCGATTTCTTCCTTTAGCGATTGAACTCTTTGTCGGTCCTGTCCTCCACTTGAATGGTTTGTAAGTTGCTGGATTTCCTTCTTCAGGCTCTTGATTCGTTTATGAGCATTCCGCTCACGGTTATTGGCTGAGCACAAATAGGCGCACACTTTGTTTTATTATATCTATTTCTTTTAGAGGGGCAGAAAGGACATTGTCCAAGAAAGAAACAAGCAAGGTTACTTGCCTTTGTTTCTATCTACTGCAGAAGCTGTAAAAAGTGGCGTACGAAAAGAGGACTCTGCCATATATATATATGTGTGTGTGTGTGTGTGTGTTGCCGAACAGTAAAAGGTTTTATTCATTGGATAGCCGCGCAATCCGAGAGCCGCACGAAGTCGCGCACGCAGTGCTGAAGACGAGCCGCGCGAAGAAGAAAGGAAAAGAACGTCGCGAGGCACGTTTTTGTTACGAGCAGTGCGTGAGCGTTTTGCTATGTTGGGCTTGAACATGTAGTGATTTATGTAGTGAGTTTATTTCGTCCAATTGAATTATTTATTTATAAATATTTTGGATTTAGACTTAAATTTAGATAGGGGAAATACTCGAACATAGGAACGAATTGTAACTCTAATTCTCCGATTCTAGTGGATTATTTATTACTGGCTCTTCTCGTGGATGCAAGTACCGATATTCGGACCGAATCACGTAAATCTCTGGTGTCCTTTATCGTTCTTCATTTATTTCTCTGGTATTTTCACATTAACTTAATTTGCAAGATCCTGTTACTTTCGCGTTATATTCCAACAATGTGCAACGTGAATATGAACCACTAGTGGCCCATCGATAGGAAGAAGCATGATAACATGATGAATATATATATGTAAGAGAGGGAGCATCAGCATTCTGAGTTTCCAAACCAACTAAGAGATAGGAGAGGAATCAACTTATGATCTCTTTATCATACTGTCTAGATCGAATTTGTGCGTGAAAGGCCAACTTTCAAAGGCAAGACAAAATCAACGAGTCGAGACGGACTTTGCGACACATATATGATAAGTTTTAACTACTTTGGAGATCTTGTGCAACTTCGGTAGTGGGACAAGATCACACAAGAATCACAAACGATAGAGCAAATCAAGAACCAATCTTTTCTCTAAGATCGTTTCTAGGGGGTCCCCTACCAAATGGTGCATACTCTTTATAGGTACTCAAACTTTTCGCCTCTTGGGAAGGCCTATATAAAGAAAGGAGGCTTGAGAGCAAGCATGAGACAAGACAAGCATTAGCGGGAAGAGGGGCTCATGAGTCATGAGCAGTGAATTTTGACGAGGCATTGGTTGCTCACTCTCCCTCAAGGGCTTCTGGCCTATTGATCAACACTTGAAGTGGGGTGTGTTCAAAATGGCTAGAAGAACTTGGGGGAGTGCGAACAAACCGTGCCCTTGCTAATTTTAGTTTTAATAGGATTTGCGGCTCCTTGGATTATGTATCGTCGAATCGTTCGTGCATGAGAACCGAGGCGTGTCTTCACCTCACTCTTCCTCAAGGGCTTCCGACAATGATGCATCGCTCACACGGTCGTCCGTGGGATGCAATACGTTGACTGAAATCCTTGAGGAGAGTGGAGATGAAGGTGTCTTGTTCGTGCGGATTCTGATCTCTTCCTTTTGTCAACCTTCAGTCACTATAGTTTGGCAGAAAAGGAAAAGGGAGTGATAGAAGGGGTGTGGCATTTAAGTTCACAAGTCCCTTGGCTTCCGACAATGATGCATCGCTCGTCTGAGGGCAGCAAGTTTGATGGTGGCGTCGGCGTTGGCTTCTCGAAATGATTTGCGAAAAAGTCGAGAAACAGCAAGCGGCGCTGTCTTGCGAATAGTAATTGAGCGTTGCATTAAGCAGCCTATTACTGAGTGTTGCGGATAGCACCAAAAGAAAAGCCACTTCCCTGAAAAAGGCTCGATTGGGCGTTGCAAGTGGTGTGGTTAGTGTAGAAACATGGAATGGATTCGATTAAGTGCTTCCTTATATGATACTTTGCACACGAAACGAATAATGTTGTGCAGCGGAATGAATTTATTTGGGTGTGCATTGGGTGCACATAATGTAGGGGTGATCGGTTTCAAGATGTGTAGGTTTCTACCATGTTTTTTCGATCTAGTTCTAAGGTCTACCCGAAAATCTATTTTTCGCGCGTATGTTCCTTTTTATTTGTCTTATTATTTACAATGAAATAATATGAGTAATAAAATAGTTCAAAGTAAAAGATGAACAAGGGTGAGTGAGCAAAGGCAAGTCCAGAACAAGTTGCTCACTTGGGAACGGGCAAGTGTTGCAAGGCTCGAACGAGCCAGGGCAGAGGAGGGTGAGTCATGAGAGAGAGAGAGAGAGAGAGAGAGAGAGAGAGAGAGAGAGTCGTAAAGTGTCTAAGTGAGGTTGAAGATAATAGAGAAAATGAAAGATAGAAAAACTAAGGATTTTAAACTTTATGAAACTAGTTCCAAATTCAATCCAGTCGGTCCAATTCCTGGGTGGTTCTTCACTTGGAACTGGGAAAGGCTATGGTACTGAGTTGAAAATGATAAAGCGGAAGAAAGAATTGGGAAATTTCTGTATATTTCTGCACATGTTGAAAAAATATACATTAGCCTATTTATAGGCTTTATTAAATGACAATCTATGATAACATATTTCGACCAAAAAAAAATCTAAGATAACATATCAATCAAGATATATACAATCAAAGTGAGATAAACACACAATCTTAAAAGATACAGAAAATCAACCGAATTATCAAAATATCTATAATATAGGAAATTATCTTAGAGAAATCCCAAATTATCTCCAACAACAATTTATAATTACGTCACCCGCCAAATATCAACAAAAGACAAACATCCACCCATGACATAGGAAAAATTGTCCAAAAAGTCCTAAACCTATTACACTTTTGCCAATTGAGTCCTAAACCTTTCAAGTTTACCAATTGAGTCATAAACATTTATACTTCTCGCCAATTGAGTTTATCTAGCCAATTTTGGCCAGAAATCGCTGACGTAGATGCCGGTGGGCCATGTGATGCTGACGTGGATATTTTTAAATAATATTTTAATAATTTTCTAAATTTTTCATTGCTTTTTTCTCTTTTTTTTCCTTTTCTCAATTTTTTTTTTTTTTTAGGTTTTAGAGTTGGCCGGTGAGGGTGGCCGGCCAACCCTCGCCAACCTGGCGAGGGCGTCGCGGCCCTCACTGGCCCTAGGCGAGGTGCTTGGCGGCCTCAAGCCCTCGCCTAGGGCAGGCGAGGACCGCCGAGCCCTCGCCTAGCCAAATCCGGCGAGGGCGTGCGAGCCCTCGCCCAGATCCGGCGAGAGCCACACGCCCTCGCTTTGGCCGGCGAGGTCGGCCAGCCACCCTCACCGGCCAACTCTAAAACCTTCAAAAAAAAATCAGAGAAAAGGAAAAAAAGAAAAAAAAACCATAAAAAAATTAAGAAAATTATTAAAATATTATTTTTAAAATATCCACATCAGCGCCACGTGGCCGGCCGGCATCTACGTTAGTGATTTCCGGCCAAAATTGGTCAGATGGACTCAATTGGCAAGAAGTATAAAGGTTTAGGACTTAATTGGTGAGAAGTGTAAATGTTTATGACTCAATTGGCAAACTTAAAATGTTTAGAACTGAATTGGCAAAAGTGCAATAGGATAATTTTCCCGATTTACATATGAATGTTACCATTGACATGATAAACACGTAACACACGATTATACATTATACATTATACATAATTACTAGTATTAGCACGATTTGACATGTTTCAAGACAATCTGAATAATTGCACTTCACATAACATCTAGACTATACAATTTCCTTTTTCTCTATAATCCAAGGTCACAACTTTGAATTCCTTCATATATTTTTATTTTTTTTAATTCCTTTATGTTTGGGTAGATACCCTCTATTTTTTTATTTTTATGGGGAAAAGGGAGCTACGTTCTATAAACTTAAAAAGGACCTTAAATATTTCTATCAAATGTCTTTGAAAAAATATCTCATCATGTCGTGTCAAAATAATGGGACACGTTCTGATGTCAACTCAAATATGTCTATTCGCGTCGAAACTTTGTTAAATGGACCAACCCACCCGCACAAGACACGATTTGGTCGCGTCCTACTCGTTAACCACAGGAATCCATTCACGTCAAATTCGACATTTGTTCTAATTACACGTCCTGTCTCCGCCTGATAGAATCAAAAGGAGAGATGACAGGGATGGGAGGTCCCCAGCTCTGCTCCTCAGCGGCTCCGCCGGTGGATGCTTTTGGGGAGGGGGGAGAAAAACGAGTTCAGCGACTGCGACTGAGGAGGGCTGGGGCTGGTGGGGGTCCGAGGCGAACGACGCACGAAACATTGGCACATGGATTTAACGTTGGCGTTTCGCATGCATGTGAAGTGACCCACAAATTGTCAGGCTTTCTTTTTGGAATCGTTTTCGAACTCTTGTTGAAAAATGAACCGATTTCAGGGCATGTCCGGGCCTGCCCCTTTTTAACCTTAACTAGATAATGAGGCCACTGGCGACGCTCATCTCACGCGTCAAATCAGCCCCGTACCCAAATTGAAGCTCATGCCCTTATCTATCTATCCTCACTCCATGTACCATTTATCTTGTGGCCGCGAGGTGGGCGATATTTCGATCGCCTGACGGAGAGGAAATTAGATGTCGAACGTTCGATCAAAAGGCACGCGCAATCGTTGAATTAACAACACCCCATTGTCAGTTGTTGCTGTTGGCAGGACGTGTAAAGTCTCACGGCACTGAAATGTCTCAAGTTGATTTCAAAGTTTTTCTGTTGATAAACATTTCATTGTCTGATTTCAAATTCTCATGGCCCTCGTGCTCATTCCAAGGACAAGGTATGACGCAATAAGCTATCGATAGATCCGGACATGATGGTCACGTGGAGTTTTTATCCGGTAACCATTTGATATACAATTACAGCCTTTTCTTTAGGCATATCATTTTCTCAAATGCACACTTTCATGGGGTCGAGCATAACACGCACGAATGGGTTCTCTACTCAACAAAGCCCTAATGTCATTTTGGCATGGACGGTGTTTGCGTTTCTTGGATTGTAAGCGAATGCAAATTTGAGAGATATAGAGAGAGAGAAGAGGAAGAGAATAGGAAGAGAGAGCGTGCGAGGCAACATTTCAATGGCACTGAGAGAGTCCAAGAGACAAACGATACAAGTACAATGGTAAAGTGCCTTGATTTCACCAACGAAGCATATACATATACCCCTTCAAGAATTGATGAACTCGTAACCAGCACGCATTCACACAGTCCCCAGACCGACCTGTGTCCAAGTACGTCGTCGTCCAGTCCTTAACTCCCTTCCTTCTTCATCCTTCGACAATTAACAACAACACATCATAACACACGCACACACACCCGCCCACACAGAGAAAGAGATCCTGAGCCTCAAGCAAGCTCTTGATTCTTCTCCACCACCCTCACTCCCTTCGCAGATCTAAGCGCATTTGCCTGTTCACACAGAACGTGAAACGCATAAGTTGCCTCCATCACTGCGGATTTTGTCTTTCAAAAGTTCGAACCTAAAGAGAGAAGAGGGGCGGGAGAGGGTTCGCTCGCTACCTGGTCCTCGGAGATCTCCACGGCGAACCCATCGACGATGACAAGGGAGAAGGTCTTCTTGTAAGTCCCCGGCTCGAGAGTGGCCGCCAGTAACCCGTCGTGCTTGGTGCTCAGATACGAATCCAGCTCATACGCTCCTCGCTTGCTTCTGCTGTCATTAATGACCACATACACACACCATATGTCAAAATGAGAACACGCGTTACCGCAAGAACAAGAAAAATAGAATCACATTTGCAATAAGAGTTATGAGTTGAGTGCGGCGACCTGTCGGCGCGAAGGCGCTCGTACTCGGGATCGTAGTTCATGAAGACGAAGTACATTTCGCTTTCCATTGTTTTTTTTTTTCCCTCGGATCGATCTCTCTGATCTCTGGCTGCGCTTTGCTTCTTGAAAATGGTGGGGAAAATGGAGTAGCTTCAAGTTTTCACCGGCCTAAGGAGCTACTTTATACTCAGGAGACAGGTTGACTTTTTGGAGCCCAGCGAAGACTCGTCACGTTCTCACTTTGGAAGCACCCGCTTCTCATCATCGATTCATCACTCCATGCTTTAGGTTGAATTATTCTAGCCTATTACATATACTTAAAGTCAGACCCTGAGAGACTGTTCACTCGTGTGATCGTCACGTGACACTTCGCTTTATCCTTATAAACACACGACATACTCTTGCCACGTGAGTTACGTTTGACCCATAAGCATTGGTTTGATTTGTTGTCCTCGCACTTTTATCATTTAAAAGAATAAAATGAATAAGAAAATGTACATCAAATCTCTAACATTTTTTTTTTTTATTTTTTTTTATTTTTGAATCTCTAACATTTTTTTTTGGTAAGGAATTTATCTCTGTAAAATCGAAAAAATTTCTACTTCTCGTACATAGTGGTCTGTGAGGAGGATATCAAACAGGTTGTGCTGGATGCATGGTATATCTCTGTAAGTAATCTTTTAAATCAAAGATGAGACATAGTGTCAAGCATCCAAAAATTAGCCTCTAAATCTTCTTCTTTTTTTTCTTGTGTAAAGCTTAAAATAAAATACCTGAAAATATTGGATAAGGGAAAGATGCTTAAAAAAAAACGAACCTTGCCTCGGTAACAGCACGTTAAAGTATGCTAACCCGCACGCTTATGTTCGGAAAAGTCAACATTTATAAATAGTTCAACAAAAGAAAGAAGTTTTAAAGGGACTGCACGTGCCTGGGGTCCGGACAAGTCGTCCCCCACGCGTTCGTTCCGACGACCAGCCAATCGCGGACCGCAACGTGTCGCCCGATCCAGATCGAACAACCAATCGGCGGAATTAATTCCATTTTTTAATCCACATGAGTCCTTCCCCGATCGTGTGAATAGAGAATTATTAAGGGGAGTCAAAGTCAAAGTCTTGATATTCCTATCACGTGAGTACGTAGAATCAATGTGCCCACGACATTACTGGATCTATGATCAAATTAACCCCTAAATAAAGCAATGTGAATAGATCGATCACATGCTTTTTGACAAAGTCAACTGATGGTTGCTTCCTAAGTTAATATCTCGACAAAAGAAAAATAGAAATTCAGAGGCTTTGCTTGAATTTCTCGATGACCAAATACATGTTGAACGATTTTATAACTTGATGAGCAAAGCTTTCGCGAATCGGCACGATCATAAGAATCAAAGTTGCGCATCAAGGCGGTATTATTAATAATCATCTAGCGTTCTGAATTGAGAATTGTCTAATTGATGTAGAACAGTTAGCCTGTGATTATCTTGAACAATGTGATCGCCGTAATCACCGAAATTCTCTGCTTTTTCGATTTTGGGGAAAACAACCATTCAAGCGCTTCTATATTATCATTTAGGCGAGCTTCCTATATTACAAGAAGTAGCTTCCTATATTACCATTCAGGCTTTCTTTAATTATTCGGTTTCCATTAGTATTAGGAGTCCTATCTCTATATATAAGATGTCCATCTTGTAATCGAAACACAAATATTGTAGAATAAAAATTTCGAGTTCTTTGGAGTTATTCTAAATTTACGCTTCTCTCGCGTCATTTGGTATCGGAGCGGGTTTCTCCCGTGACGATGGTGAATAACGTGAATGTCAATCTCCCGCCGAGGGCCGTGAGAACGAGCCTATTACGCGGCCGAGTTCAATCGGTTCATGGATCAAACCGATCGGAGGTTTCAAGATATCCTTGATGCCATCCAGCGTTTGTCCACAAACCATGCGCCTGGCAATCTTCCAGCCGAGCGAATTCCTGTCGTTCGTGATCCCGAAGATGCTATGGGCGTGGAGGAATTCCTCGACAAAGGCGTCAAGACTATGTCGAGGATACGGAAGACGAAGACGATGATTTCCAGGAGATGCAGATTTGTGGTGGTCACCGATATAGGGGATTCCAGGAGGAGCATGTTCATGGGAATCGACGTCAGGGAGGATATCGACGAGATCCTGAGCAGTATCAACTAAAGGTAGATTTCCCTACTTTTAATGGGAATTTGGATATTGAAGATTTCCTTGATTGGCTTTGGGAGGTCGAAAATTCTTCGACGCTATGGATATTGACGAGGATCGCCAAGTGAAACTTGTGGCGTACAAGTTGAAGGGTGGCGCTTCACTTGGTGGGAATAGACGCAATTGACGCGACGTCGACAAGACAAGGCTCCTATTTGATCATGGGGTCAGATGAAACAGAAGTTGAAGAAGAGGTTCCTCCCAACGGACTATGAGCAATCGCTATTTCAAGAATTCCGCAATGCCGACAATCAAATAGATCGGTCCAAGCTTATACGGAAGAGTTCCTTCGACTCTTCGCTCGCAATAACCTCGATGAGTCCGAGGCACAACAAACTGCTAGGTACATTAATGGTTTATGACTTAATATCCAGGATCGGGTTTCTTTGCATCGACTATTCTCTGTCGAAGACGCCCAGGATATGGCGCGAAAAATTGAGGTGCAATTAGAGAGGACTAGCCCTAGTACTCGTGGTAGCAATTATTCGGGTCGTGGGTCATTCGGGAAAGGAAGACAGCCTGATGTTGCAAGTTCTTCTAGTCAACAAACACCGATTCGAGCCGAGTTCCAGGGGGTACTAGTGGGACGCCTAAGGAAGCAAAAGCAAGCAATCGCACTCCCAATCGAATACCCGAATCCATATGCCAAGCCCCAACCGATCAAAGTGCTACAAGTGTAACGAGTTGGGCCATCGTTCCGCCGATTGTCCTCGTCGTAGAATGGCCAATATCGTTGAACATGACGAAGATGTGTATGAGGAAGATTGGGAAAAGGAAGAAGAAGTGGGAGTGGAAGATGAAGTGGACGAGCAAGTTAATTGTGTTGTGCGTCGTCTATTGCTTGCTCCGCGACAGTAAGATACCCATGCGGAATCGCTTTTTCGCGCTCACTGTCTTGTCAATGGCAAAGTATGCGATATCATTATCGACAAGCGGAAGTTGCGATAACATAGTGTCAAAGGCCTTGGTGGATCACTTGCAACTAAAGACGGAGCCACATCCCGCGCCCTACACAATCGGGTGGATACGCAAGGGAGCAGAACTTAAGGTAAACCAATTATGCCGTTTATCTATTTCGATCGGAAATCATATCAAGATACTATTGTCCGTGATGTTGTGGAGATGGATGCGTGTCATGTTTTACTTGGGTCGGCCATGGCAATATGATGTTGATGCTACACACCGAGCTAGGGAGAATACGTATTCTTTTGTGTGGAAAAGGACTAAAATTACTTTGAGACCAAAAAGTAATTCCCTCGATTGTGAAAAAGCAAAATGCAGGGTTATGATGAATATCCGAAAGCGTGAAGGGATGTATATGATTGTGGACAAGAGCGACCAACAAGTTGTGGTTCGTGTTCCGACATTCTTAAGCCCTTATTAAAGGTATTCAAATGTTATGCATGAGGATTTACCCGACGGATTACCTCCTTTTAGGAATATCCAAGATGAGATTGATTTTCTTCTAGGTGCTAGTCTTCCTAATTTGCCGCATTATCGGATGAATCCGAAGGAGAATCGATTTTACAGAGCAGGTGGGAGAGCTCCTTCGAAGGGCTTCTTGCGTGAAAGCAAAAGTCCATGTACGCTTCCTGCGCTTCTCACATCAAAGAAAGACGGCACCATGCGTATGTGTAGACAATGTGCCATTAACCGGATTATCGTCAAGTATAGGTTTCCGATTCCACGACTTGATGATATCTTGGGATGAGACTTGCCGGATCACGGATTTTTACGAAGATCGACCTTCAAGTGGACACCACCAAGTTCGCATCCGCCCGGCGACGAATGGAAAACGGCCTTCAAGACAAGTGCGGGATTGTACGAATGGCTTGTCATGCCGTTTGGACTCACTAACGCACCTAGTACTTTCATGCGTTTGATGACTCGTGTTCTCAAACCTTTTATTGGCAAGTTTGTGGTAGTTTTCTTTGATGATATACTCATATATAGTCCGATGGGCGTCAACACATGGAACACTTGAGAGATGTCCTATTAACCTTGTAGCAAAATAAATTATTCATTAATCGAAAAAGTGCGCATGACGTAACGCTTCTTGTTTTTGGGTTTTGTTGTTGGCGCGGATGGACTTCACGTTGATGCAAATAAGGTGGGCGTGATTCGCAATTGGCAGCTTCCCAAGAATGTTGGCGAGGCTCAAGTTTCCATGGCCTTGCAACATTCTATAGGCGTTTCATTCGAGATTTCGACTATTATGACCCCGATCACCGACCGTTTAAAGAAGGGCAAATTCTATTGGGGAGATGAAGCTTCGGCCGCTTTGCTCTTATAAAAGAAAAGCTCTCCACGGCGCCGTATTGATGCTCCCCGATTTTGAGAAAGTGTTCGAGCTGGATTGTGATGCTTCCGCGGCTCGGGATTGGCGCTGTCCTTTCCCAAGAAGGTAAGCCTATAGCCTTCTTTTAGTGAAAAACTTAATGAAATTCGCCATGCGTTGGTCGACGTATGAGCAGGGAATATTATCTTTGTCGTGCGAGCTATAAAGCATTGCAGTCTATCTTTATCACGGAATTTGTTCTTAATACCGATCATCGTGCTCTTAAATATATCAAGAGTCGAAGCACTTAAATCGAATGCATGCACGATGGGTTTCTTTTCGGAACAATTTAATTTTGTTCTTCATCACAAAGCAGTGCCATTTAAATAAAGTGGCAAATGCGCCGAGTCGACGTGTCAGACACTCGTGACCATGCGCACCGATGTTGTCGGTTTTGATCACCTATGTTCTCTTTATCCCGAGCATGATGATTTTGGTGAGATATGAGAGAAGTGTTCGAAATAAGTTGTCATGGCGATATGATAATTCATGAAAATTTCTTGTTCTTTGGCAATAGATTATGCATTCCACGTGGTTCCTTACGTGAACAACTCATTCGAGAGCTTCATGGTAGTACTCTCGGCGGACATTTAGGCGAGATAAAACTATAGCCTTGGTGGAGGAGCGGTACTATTGGCCTCAACTGAAGCGAGACGTGGGCGATTTGTCGAAAATGCTATATTTGCCGGATCGCTAAGGCCCACTCTCGAACACTGTCTTTATACCCCATTGCCTATTGCTTCGGGTCCTTGGGTAGACATATCGATGGACTTTGTGTTGGGACTTCCTCGCACTCAACGGGGTTTAGATTCTGCTTTGTGGTGATTGACTCGATTTTCAAAGTTGGCGCACTTCATCCCTTGTAAGAAAACTTGGATGCTTCGCATGTGGCAAGTTTATTCTTTCGTGAAGTAGTCCGTCTCCATGGTGTGCAAGACAATCACTTCCGATCGTGACACGACATTTCGAGCCATTTTTGGCGTACTTTATGGCGTTTGTTTGGGACTGATTTACAAGATAGTAGTTCTTTCCATTCCCAAACGGATGGTCGACGGAAGTTGTGAATCGTACTATGGCGGATATCATTCGCCGCTCTCTCATGATGATATGCCTAAGCAAAGGGGACCGTATCTTGCCCCGCCGAGTTCGCTTTCAACAACTCGGTTAACCGCTCTACTGGACATCTCCCTTTCGTCGTTTATGGGCGTACACCACAAAGATACTCTGGATTTGGTTCCCTTGCCCAAGATTCCGGGCTATAGTGTCGCGCCGAGAATTTGGCGACCGAATTAATGAAGTCCAAGCCGTGTGGCTAGTCAATTGGCTACTTCTAATTCAAAGTATAAGGAGGATGCCGCCAAACTAGCGACGTTCGAAAATTTTTGAGGTAGGCGATGAGGTAATGGTTTTCCTACGAAAGGAGCGTTTTCCCGTAGGTCCTTTAATAAACAAGCACAAGAAGATTGGTCCTTGTCGCATCCTAAAGAAGATCAACGATAACGCCTATGTAGTTGAACTTCCCGTGATCTCAACATTTCCCTACATTTAATGTGGCGTACTTATTTGAGTATCATGCTTCGATACACCCTCTATCCTCGATCTTAACTCGAGGCGCGAGTTTTTCCGAAGAGGAGGAATGATGTAAAACAGTTAGCCTGTGATTATTTTGAACAATGTGATCGCCAATCACGATGAATCTCGGCAGCTTTTTGATTTTGGGGAAAACAACCATTCAAGCGCTTTCTATATTATCATTTAGGCAGTTTCATATTACAGCGGCGCTTCCTATATACCATCGTGCAGCTTTAAATTATTCGGTTTCCATTAGTATTAGGAGTCCTATCTCTATATAAGATGCCGTCTTGTAATCGAAACACAAGTATTATAGAATAAAAATTTCGAGTTCTTTGGAGTTGTTCCAAATTTGCGTAAATTTGGAACAACTCCAAAGAACTCGAAATTTTTATTCTATAATATCTTGTGTTTCGATTACAAGACGGACATCTTATATATAGAGATAGGACTCCTAATACTAATGGAAACCGAATAATTAAAGAAACCGCTCGAATGGTAATATAGGAAACTCGCTTTACCGGTAATATAGAAACTCGCCTAAATGATATATAGAAACTGCTTGAATGGTTGTTTTCCCAAAATCGAAAAACTGCGAGATTTCCTAAGTGATTACTGCGATCACATTATTCAAGATAATCACAAAGCAATCTGCTCTACATCACTAATGGGGCATGAAGACACAAAATTGCCTAATTTGATCGGAATTTTAGACTACGTGATCACAAAGAAGAAGGGTCACATGTAATCCTTGACTAGACCAAGAATAGAATGAGAAAAACGGTAAAAGTATATGCCACGCTCTATGCATAGGGACTTGGATGTGAAATCTAGATACATCTTACTCGCTCGGCCATGTCAATTCACATCATCCATATATAATGGGTTTTGCCTCGTCAATTTTTCGGTGGAAGCCAGTTTAAATATATGACAGTGCTTTAACATGTACGGATATATTTTATGCATGGGATACACGCGCGACTGTAATATTTAAGGAAACTAGTTCAATCAAACATGGGTGAGAATTCTGCAATCCAAAGTACAAAATTAGGTGAAATGCATATCACGTAGACATTATGATTAGTTGTAAATGCTTATATTACATTAGATATCTAACCGGTACTTAGCATGCTCCCGCCTCTCTTGCAGATTTCAAGCCATGCGAGCCTTTTCAAAATCCACGTGAGGTGGAGATATTATCATGGGGCCTGACGGTGCACGGGGGGACCTCCCATACAGTTTGTTCTCATTGATGCCACGTGTTTCTGGTCCCAAGTGCAGGTCTAGGTTCGCAGAAAGTATTTGGTTGAGCATGTAATAAATACTCAATCTGAATTTGAAATGTAGGATCTGGTGGAACTCGCGGAACTCCCACGTGGGGCTCATCAAATTTAGTTGTCCATATTCAATTTAGCATATGTACTATACTCATTGAATATTTACTCGTTTGTTCTATTCAATCAATTTGATTGAGGTGATTATGTCAACGATAACTTTCAGATTCTATATCAGGACTTTTGTATCTTACTTCATGCGATCAAAGTTATGTGTCCGTCGAGAAATCGATACCATTCGCCCTTCATTTCATGTCAAGATATAACATTTGTTTGTACTGGCCCAATGATATAAAATAAGGGCAAACTATAGATATCATCCTCACTTTTCCTCTTCATATCAAGTACAATTGACCTCGAAGTTGCAAGCGGAGCTAGTCATAGATGTGTCGAGCTCGAGCGGTACGACGGAGCTTGCCCAGATTTGGGCTTGAGCTCGACACCTTGGCGGAGCTCGTGGTCCTTAAGCTCCAGTAGAGAGAGAGAGAGAGAGAGAGAGAGAGAGAGTCACCGGGGGTTGCCTTCGGCCAATGAGGGGTGAGCCGGCAACGAGACGTGGAGGGCGATGGCCGAGGTGTGCTATGATTTTTAACTCTGCAATCTTTCTATACCCTCTTGTTCGATTTTCTTTTGGCTTTTTTGGTTTTTCTTTTATTAATCTTTTTCTAATGTGGCGCAAGTGTGGTGCCATTTGTCTTCGAAAAATATTAATGACGCCTCGCCGGCCGCCACGTGCGATTTTTAATGACAAACATGGACGGAAATGTGATGAAGGGTATATAGTCTAGGGTTGTTGGGTTGACAATAAAATTTACAATATCGGTGTTTGTAGTGAGCATAGTTCAGGTTTTTTTGTTATACTTTTCCTAATTTTTTTAAGAATATGAGCGGTCATTTTAAAAAAAAAATATTCATTAAATCATTGGTTATCCACAAAATAAACCTACCCAAATAAAAAAAAATTGCATTGCTGATTTTTCTTTTTTGTTTGAAAAAGATGTTGGTTGCCAAGTAATCCTAGTTCTGATTTGGTTGCCTTTTTAACCTAATCTTTTAGGTTAAGGGAGATACTAACAAGACAAACACATCTCACAGCTCATCAAGGGATAGAATCTAGGGCTTTAACATCACCACCTCCGTCCCTGACCTCATCACAACATGATCAGAGAAAATATAATGGAGGTGTCCTCAAAGTGTTACGTGACTCTGTCACTCTGTGAAGTGCCGCACATCACATAACATCACACTCTCCTCATAAGTAGAACCCAGTGCCATGAAAAGTTGGAGAGCACAAAATAGCACGAGAACGCACCGCCATTTTGTGCAATCTAGATTCAGATTACACGCTCGAAATGTTGCAAATGGTCTTCAGTATCTGCTCTATGGGGGGCCTCTCTTCCGCTACTTCATTTGTACACTCTAACGCAATCTCTAACAGCTGCATGGCCTGGCTCCGCTCGTCCCCTTCCGCGCCAAAGTCGAAGAAATCCATCCGCCCGTCCATGATCTGATCCTCTTTCTTCCGCAGTATGCACTTCCGGTAGTCCTGCATCGCATTGTCCCCGCCGATGATGTCGAACATGACGACCCCGAAGTTGTATATGTCCCCCTTCTGGCTCATCTCGTCGGAGTAGATGCTCTCGGCCACGGTGGTGGGGGGCGGCGGCTTGTACTGCCCCATGTTGGAGGCGTCGACGAGCCGCGCCAGCTGGGCGAAGCCGTAGTCGGAGAGGCAGGCGGTGAAGTCGGCATTGATCATGATGTTGGCGGACTTGATGTTGCCATGCACGTTCATGTGCATCTTTCTCTCTTTCGGAGGGGAGAGGGAGTGGATGAAGAGGATGGCCTGTGCGGCAGTGAAGAGGATCTTGAGCCTCTGGTTCCAGTTCAGGGCTGTGTGTCCACAGTCCCTCCCACCTTTCAAAATTTACACAGATAGAAAAATTAGGAGACGGTCATTTTCTGCGTTGACTGAATATCAACGAGAAAGAACGATTCATATTGAAAAGAAAGCAAAGTGATGTCGTCGTCGTATCTAATGCTTTAAAACACACAAGAATAGGACGTTGCTTATGCTCACCGGATAGGAGGTCATGGAGGCTACCCATAGGGTAGTAATCGCAGAGCACGAACTTGATCCGCTTGGTGTACAGGTACGCCAACACCGGCACGAGGTGCTCGCACCTCCCGCTAATCTGCGCCACCCTCTGCAGCCTCCTTCCGAACTCCCTCTTTCCTACTCCTACCTCCCGGAACCTCTTGAGCGCGCATACCTTCCCCCCCAAGAACACCACCTTCTCCGTGATCCCCAAGCAGCTCTCCCCCATCACTCCGACCGACGCCCTCAGGACCTCCCTGAGCGTCGGCTCGCTGCGTGCCCCCTGGTAGCCCTTGATCGCGTCGCACACCACCAGAGGGATGTCGTCCATGAACCCCACGATGCAGTCCTCGTACTCGTGCAGGATGGACTCCGACCGGGTGATGTTGTCGCCATTTTTGGGGCTTCTCTTGGGCTTCGTGAAGGCCCTCGACAGCATTTGACAGGGGAAAGAAAATCTGTTCTCGGTCTGTCTGGTAGTGATCAGTGTAAGGTAGGAGATGGGGGTGGAGGATCGATGAAAAGAGCGGTCCTTTTGTGGAGGTTTTTGGCTGGTTTGTGATTGGTTTAGTGATGGGTCTTGTTTTTTGCTTAAAAGAAAAAGAATTCATGGTCTTGGGAAGTATCGATCGAGTTCCAGCACGATCGATCTTGTGTTGGGGTGTATCTGTGTTTCAGAACCCACCAAAAATGCGATCCATTGAAATTCCCCACGGACTTGATTGGTTGGTCTGTGGCTACTTCGAAAACCTCGTTCCCCTTCGTTTCTTTATCTATCTGTTTTAATAATCCCCCCACGACTGAACAAGATTCAGCCACTCTTCTGTTGTCTTCATCTGATCAGAGCCGTCTCCGAGGAGGACTCTTCAGCCATGGGAAGATCCAGACCACGAGTATCTAAAGATGGCGGAAGATTCAAGGCAGAGAGTCGATTAGGCTTCGAGTAAATTCAATACCAAATTCATGCTGATAAGGGTATGGTTTTACACTTGTCTGTGGGTTAGAATTGAAACGAAATGGTCTGTTTCTGTGGTGCTGTTTTACTGTACAAACCAAGAGTTTACTATGTTGTCTTGTAAACATGCCCTCACTAGCTCTGCATATTCACTTTGATTCTATGGATTAAGCATGGTGCGAGTTATTTATAGTTCCGTAGGATTTTGAATAATTGTCAACTTCATTGGGAAAGAGAAATGAGAAACAAACAGAGGGTGCTCTAGAACTGCATAACTGAAGAGAGAAAAGATCCAATGAATTCTGAGAAAGGTTTTTTGACTCTGATAATTTGGAAGCTCGACTACTGCTCTTAAGCTAACAATCACTGCTCGAGAGAAAGTTATCTCTTCTTTGTGTTAAAAAATGCAATCTTAATCATCCTTTATGATTTTCCCTGGATTTTATCGGAGATGTTTTCAAATGGATCAGTCAGATCACTCTTGAAGTAGTGAAAACTATGCTCAGAGAAGAGACGCATTCCCCCTTCAAGGGCCCATTTATTTATTTGAAGGAAAACTGTTTCTGGAAAATTTCTTTCCGACTTTCCGTTAATCTTTTTATTTTTTTTTGGGTCTTGACTTTCAGGTATTCAGATGACGAAAAATTAACCAATCTATGGAAAATGTTTTCCATGTAGTGAAAACAAGAAGCTTAAATGATTTCCTTTTCTAGCAAGAAAAAAATCACTTTCCATGAACCACAAAATAAATGAAAACTAATTAATTTTCTTGAAAATGATTTCCATGAAAAGTATTTTCCTTTAGGGAAAATACCACCAAAAACTCCAAACTATGTCACTTGTGACAAATTTACCCTGAACTTTTTTTTTGTGACATGAAAAATCTCAAATCATGCCATTTGTGACAAATTTACCCTAAACTTTTTTTTGTGATACGAAAAACCCCAAACTATGCCACTTATGACATATTTACCCCACAATACTTTGACCCATAAGCATTTTCGTCTTTTTCCTTTTTCTGTTTTTTTTTCCTTTTTTGTTCTTTTCTTCTCCGCCGAGGGCAGCCCTCGTTGGCGTTGGGCGACTTCGCCCGACTCAGGCGAGGGCTACCCTCACCGGAGAAGAAAAGAAAAAAAAAAAAAGGAAAAAGACGAAAATGCCCATGGGCCAAAGTATTGTGGGATAAATGTGTTATAAGTGGCATAGTTTGGGGTTTTTCGTGTCACAAAAAAAAAGTTCAAAGTAAATTTGTCACAAGTGATATAGTTTGGGGTTTTTTGTGTCACAAAAAAAGTTCAGGGTAAATTTGTCACAAGTGACATAGTTTGAGGTTTTTGGTGGTATTTTCTCTTTCCTTTATATGAAGTTCTCAGTGAAACAAACACATCCTAAAATGCTTCGGATTCGGTGTCGGGAAGAGCACACGAACGGGGTCCTGGTGGGCCTAACAGGGCTTCACAAGGCTTGAGAGGCTCAGATGTGATATAGGCCTCTGTGGTCCACAGGGCCCAGACGCAGTATCTTTTCCTCAATTCCCCCCCGTTCAAGGGCTTTCGCCTTTAGATTCTGTTTCTTGTCAAGTACTAACTATATCTTTTGTCATTTGTGTATAGCCATGGGTTGTTATCAAACAGTCTGAAAAGTGAAAACCATAAATGAAGTCGAGCAGGCAAACAGCCAGACTGCAGAGCCAACGCGCGCCAGTTGAAATCGCGGTTTGAAGAACTTAAGACGCCCGAGCCGTGCAGAAACCCCTCCTCGGGTTTGGCCCCATATACATTTGCGATTTTGGCATATATCCTGTCAACCGCCGTCGGATTCAGCTGTTATGTCAGTTGTTCGGATCGATGTGTGCTGTCAACCAACCCCGTCCCATCAAAATCTTGTCGGAGTCGGCCGTCGAATCTAGCACAGGCTCACAGCTGAATGGCCATGCTCAAGACCCCGAGACTAGAGCATAAGGAAGGCCATTTTTAAGTGGGCTTATCGTTTCTATCTCTTCTGGAGCATCTTGTATTGAACGGTGTTATTTCCATACGGGCTTAAATCGCACCATTTTACGTTAACAAGCCAAATTATCGGTCAAACCACAAAGTTTGGTTCAATCAACATTGATACATTAACATTGTGTCCACCCTCTTTCTCTAAAACCAATCGCATCACCTCTCTCCTTCACATGCTAACATTTGTGCCAACTGCTAAGCTACAAAGAAGGCATTGGTTGACTTTTGTATCATTGCGGAGGTTCTTTCGAATTAGATAAAATATGTCTTTATTCTAAGTAAAGCTGTGTTTCAAAGTCGAAAAACCTTACTTATGAACATGTTGAAGATATTAAAGTTGTTAAAGTTGAGTTGTTTGAAATTTGCTCAATTGTTTTTCTGTCTAAGCTTTTCAGTGATTTTGGTAGGAGTCACGATCTTGTTAGTTACAGCTTACTCACATTTAAACTAAGATTTATTCATTAATAAAAATTGAGGGCATGGTTGACAAGCAATGCTATTATTATCTTTCTTCTTGATTGAACGATAGAAAGAAAAATTTTAGTCTTCATGTTTCCCTTAGTTTTCTCTCTATTTTATCTTTTCTTCTAATATTCAAGGTTTAAAAATTGGAAGGAACAAACGAATTAAAATCTTGAATTTTGTTTTTATTATTTTGGATGAAAAGATAAACTGTTCTCTTCAAGTTAGGAGCAACTCATAAATCATTATTCTTTTTTCCAAAATAGCGTTCTTAAATACCCATGTATGCCCAATAAAGTTGAAGACTTAATTGGTCAGCTAAAGGATTTGTTTAGCCAAAAGGAACGCGCAAACAGCGACATCTTCATGTAATTCTAGGGGTGTAAAAAATATCCGAACCGGACCGAACCGAAATTTCCGGATCAGGTTCCTTCCAGTTTGGGTAATAGATTAAAAAAAAGGGTGCATAAACAGTTTCGATTCGGGTACCCAAACACAAATCGACACAAATCGAACCGAACCAAAACACTTTAAACTGTACACCGTCTTCCTCCCAGAAATCGCCCTCCCAAAAAAGCCTCTTTCACAGCTGTCTTTTGCACCTCGATCCGAATCATGTTTTCTGTTCTACAACATTTGGGTCGCGATTTGAATCGTGAACACACGCGGGGGGTCGAACATGTTCGGATCGGCGCAGGTACCATGTGAACTCGAACCGTGGACACCCGTGTGAATCCAGGCGTTGATGCACCGCGTCCCTCTGACTAAACCGTTGGATGTACAAATTGGCTACCGGGACACGCAGACGCAAATTCACGGGGCTATAAAGCATCGGGTGGGAAGAAGAGAAATTGCAAATTGAGAGATTTAATCTCTGGTCAAACCGCAAAGTGATTTGGCCGAAAAAGGAGAAAAACCCAATTTTGCAAAGAGCGAAAAGTCAGTCAGAGCGAATAGTCCCCCCCCCAGCCCAGCCCAGCGCAGCACACGGAGTTAGAGGAGGCCACGTCATGGCGCACGCCGCGGTCAACTCCCACACGCCCCTAGCCCGTCGCTCGCCGTGTACGCAACGGCGGCCGCACCAGCAGCAATCTATTCATTTGACCATTTCCATGCTAGCCTCCCATCCACTACTCGCCTCCTTGACAAGCGCATCTCAACTCAAAACCAATGGAGTTTCTCCCTTTTGTCTGCTCTATCAATTGAGAAAACAACGCGATATTAAACATTTTTGATATAGTTCAGGAATTGAGTTAAAAATGTATTAAAAGTTTAAGACTATATTGAATAAATTAAAAATTCGAGGATCATATTAAGCCAAAGTCCAAGAATCGTCTTGAATAAATTAAATTTGAAGAGACCACGGGATTCATTTGTGTAATTTATGTATGAGGCATTACCTGCCTTCTTTCTTATTCTACAAAAAGCGAAAAAAAAAAAGAAGATTTCTTTTTGTTTTCCTTTAAAAAACTAACTTAAAACGTGTGTCGTCATTTGGAAAATAACTTCAAACTCACCCCCCCCCCCCCCAAACAAACATTTCATCTGGCTCTATTTTAAAATTTCCCATTATTTCTTCGCATAAGAAAGTAAAGAAGACAGCGAGCGGCGCATGATGTTTACCCATTGACCATGGAGCTAGATCAGGCGAGTGAAATACGCGAATTCTTGATTTATATAATATCCGTTAATCTAATAATTCGAAAGTTAATATCACGAAAAACTCCAACCTGGTATATCCGTAACAAATTTATCTCAAACTAATTTTTTGACCACCAAAAACTCCAAACTGTTACATTTAAGATAAATTTACCCTCAGTTAGTTTTCGTTAAATTGGATTAATACAAAAAAAAATCATAAACTGATACATCCATTAAATGTTATGTGTCATTAAGCTCGTCAATATGACGATAAAATTTAATAAAAATTAATGGTCAGTAAATTTGTCGGGATTTTTTATTTGAGGTAAAAGTTTTTGTCGTATTAATCCTAAATAGTAATAAAAAATTATGCAAGTTTGAATATTGGGAACCCCAACCGACTCCCTCAGGTGATGGAATTCCCGGAAACACCCTCCCCGTCACCTTCGCGCAACCCGCTCTCTTTCTCCAATCACGTGGTCGGTCTTCCACCCCTGCCCGCTGCCCGCTGCCCGCTTTGCCCTCCCCCGAGTCAAACCCCCTACCTCCCGCCGTTCACACCTGCCCGTTCTGCCCCGCATCTCCCCCTTTATATTGTCTCTCTCTCTCTCTCTCTCTCGACCCCCCCAACTTCACCAGGAGATACTTTCTCTCTCTCTCTCTCTGGAGAAAATGGCCAAACTAACCCTCTCCCTCCTCCTCCTCTTCTCCCTCATCGCCTTCTTCTCCCTCATCGCCTTCTCCGAGTCTCTCACGACCTCCGATCTCCCCGCCGGCGATGTCGCCGGCCGCGATCTGCCCGGCGGTTCCGAGGCCGAGCCCACCGCGACCATCCTCCTCCCCAGCGAGAAGGCCCGCTCCGAGGCCTACACGGTGGTCCCGATTGACACGGAGACCTCCACCGTCGCCCCCGACTCCACCGCTCAGGACGCGGCCGACGTCGCCGTCGCCGAAGATCGGCCGTCATCGGAACCCGAGAAGATCGCCTCCGTCCCGCTGAGGACGGTCGTCTTCCGCCCGTACGACCACGGCGGGTTCCGCGAGGGGGCGGTGCCGCTTTCTCTCCGCTTCCCGTACCGCCACGGAGGCCGCGGGTGCCGCCACGGTCGCCGGCAGTTCCGGCCGAGGTTCCAGGGCGGGGAGATCTCGTTCGGCAACGACATGATCCTGTCCGGCGAGGAGCCGGGGTCCGATCCCGAATCGCACGGGATCGAGCGCCAGATGCCCGGCCGGTGGATCAGGGTCCACCACAGGAAGCCGAGGTTCGGATACGTCGACGCGGCGTGGAAGGAGGACAAGGACATGATGAAGAGGCCCGATCGCCACGAGGAGCGCGAGGACGACGAGGAGAGAGAGCACCACCACCGCCGCTGGAAGGAGGACAAGGACATGATGAAGAGGCCCCATCGCCCCGAGGAGCGCGAGGACGACGAGGACAGAGAGCATCACCACCACCGCCGCTGGAAGGAGGACATGGACACGATGAAGAGGCCCCATCGCCCCGAGGAGGGCGAGCACGACGAGGACAGAGAGCACCACCACCACCACCACCTCCACCACCTCCACCGTCACCACCATTTCCGCATCCACCACGATCACGAGGATGAGGAGCGCCACGGAGGTGAGGGAATCTTCAAGAGGATCCGCAAGTTCTTGCACCATTTCTGAGGACGACGCCCATGATGATGACGCAGTGTGAATTTGCGGTGATGCATACGGATGCAGCTATTTACTGTTTTTGCGATGGTTCTACTTATAGGGATTAGCCTCTTTTTACTTATCTAATACGTCTGTGTGTAAATAAAGTTGCATCCTTGAGAGATGGACAATCTGAACACGTTGCCGAGATAGATGGCATGCGAGATGGATAGTAGGGTTTGTACTGCGCTTTGTACTGTATATAACAACACTGTTGGATTCATGTAATGATCAGATGTTGCTAATCTACCCAGTGGTTTGTATGAGCTTTTCGGGCAAAATTCGATAAGTCTTCGCGACAATTATGTATCCATGTCGATAGAATCTCAAGATCATGGCCCGTCAAATATGGTAAGAAGAGAGAGCGAGAGTGGATAGGGTGATGATGGTGCAGAGCTTGGTTGAATAAACATGTCCTTACATATGCAGCAACAGCAAAGGTGTCACCAGCTTTAGATTAGCAGATGCCACTTTGATAGGTGCTGGCAAGCTCCGAGCACACCCAGGGGCTCACCTCGAGTGCGGCTCCGGTGACGTCGGAGCAAGTCCACGCCGCTCTCCTCTGCCCCGGCACGCCGTGGAGATAGATGTTGGAGAGGCAGATCCCGGTGAACGGCGCGTTCTTCAGGCCCTGTATTAAGCCCGCCTCTTGGACCTTCACGCCCCAGACGTCCTTGATTCGGATGCCCTTGACGTAAGGGAGGGCATTGGGGTTGTAGTAATCGTCCGGGTGGTCGCCGACGTTCCCCATGATGCGTATGCCCTTTCGCACGTTCTCCATGTACACGTTGGACACGGTTATGTCTTTTATGAACCCACCCCTCCCGATGTTTGTTTTGATGTGGATTCCTATGCCCGTGTCGTACAAGTTTATGTTCTCGACGAAGACGTTGTCCACCCCGCCGGACGTTTCGCTTCCCACTGAAATCCCAGCAAAAGGGGACGACCCAGTTATCCGCCGTATCGTGATCCCCGAGCTGCGACGGCCGTATCGTATTCCATATTCATCCCATCCACTTTTCACCGAAACGAGATCATCTCCAACGGATATATGTGAATCCTCTATGCAGACATTGCAACTGGAATCTGAGCCAGTACAAATACAGAAGCCGTAGTTAGCTTTCTTTCCTGAGAATTCGTACTCTTCAAAACAGAAGCAGTCAATGAGATTGTCTCACCAGCTAAAACATATTCCTGAACATATATCATGGCCTCATTAACAGGACCAACCGAATTAAAGAACATGCAGAGGATTGCTTCAATACGATGATCTTACCCTGTCTTCTCTTTTACTGTTGCCGTTGATTATTATATCAGCTCTTATAGATCCTATCGAAGTACTGATATACTAAACGGTGAGCAAACATTGGCTGTACATAGCAAACTAACTGCATAGCTGGATAGGACTTGCCAACCATGTCACCTGGGAGCACTCAATCCAATGTGATACTCTCTGTTCAGAACCCTCTACTTTGGATGAGTATTGTATGATACTCATCCGAAGTATATAGGATGCACTGCAGTTCTACAAACAGCCCATGCACATTTGAAGCGTAGTGGAATCGTGCATCACGAAATGGCATAGCAATGCTAACCCGGGCCAAAGTTTCGAGTAAAATCGAGTATAGTATGTACCTGGATCAATGCCGTCAGTATTGGGAGAGTCGTAAGGGGCCAGAATGGTTACATATCTGATAACAACGTTGCTGCCAAAAAAGGGAATAAAAGAAGAAAGGCTATCAGATCAGGTTCGAGCAAGATGTCCATTATTCTAATGTTGTTACTCATTAAACACCTTGTCCTAAGATCTGCACTTAACAAATTGAAACATACATGTCTGGAAGTTACCTGCAATAAACAGGGTGAATGTTCCAAAAGGGGGAATTCTTGAGAACCACGTTGGAGATCACGATGCTTCTGGAATCCATGAATTCAACAAGATGCGGTCGAGTATAGCGGAGAGTGCCCTGCCTCCACATGTTCCACCATACCTCTCCCTGACCATCGATCGTCCCGTTCTCACCTGAAAAAGAACAATCGCATCATGTCCTCGACAAGGTTGTTTCTGAACTTTGGGTATTTAAGCACTGTTATGATGCAGCGAATTCAGTCCAACGGTGGACAGCGATTTTCGTGGGATGCTTGTTGAAGTGAAGGATCATGCAACTTGTTTTCATCAATACCCACCCGTGATTACCACATCTCGAAGGCCATATCCTTGAATGAGACTCATATACCTCCTTCCAGGACGTTCCCTCCCTCTTCCATAAGAAGGCAAGGGTGCGATCAGAGGCCAATTCCAAGTATCCTGAACCAGCAACCACCACAATTTAGCAGGGGACTATGCAACGTTAGGCAAATTATAGCTTTTCATTGACCAGAAGTTCCTTTCATCCTCGTATCTTCAGGATCATCCAAATATCTTCTTTCTTTTTCTGACAATTCACCAAGTTCCGACAAAACTCATGCACTCAATCATCGTGTCATAAATTTATGGTTACCATTACAATATACAGTCACTAATATCTTCAACATATTTAAGACTGACTAGACTATCCTAATCCTATCTCGCAAGTTAACAAAGCGAAAAGAATCGTCCGAAAGAATATGCCAAACAGTGTAAGTGAGCAAATATGAATGAATGATCACGAGGGAGGTGTGTATGCTTCAAAGAAGCTATTTGAATCAGCAGAAGTTATGGCATTTAGTCGCCATGGGACTACAGAAGAGGGAGACGTCATCTTCAGGCATTCAACGTGTCTAGGGACCACGCCATATGAATGCCCTGAGCAGCTTTCGATCTTTCCTCTCCCTTGACAACGTTGTAAAAGATGCACGGCTGTTTGTCAGCGTAATTCCAACGCTCTAAAATGGGCAGAGGCCCTTCACCCTATTACCTCTGACATCGACTCATTATGCTATGAGCAATCGAGATGTGAAACTCGATCGTCTTAATCATTAGATTAGACCTGGTCAATGGACGAGCCTCGACCCTAGGCAATGTCAAATGCCGGCTCTGCCCAAGCCGGGCCACATGCCCGACACAAATGAGCTGAATCCTATAGCTCTTACTATGTTACTGGAAAAGGAAAGTGAATGGATTTGTTGTGATGGTCCAAATGAAGATGCATTGATGAGTTCTGCATCTGCAAAAATCTAGCTGTCCAAGCATCTGGAATGTCCATTGTCAGATGTGCAACGCACATGCACTTGGAGCCACCACGCACCCACCCACATCCTTCCTTTTCTTTTCAGGTCCCCAAGATTAATTAATACAAATATTTCTGCTGAAGCTAGGAGGACCACTTCCTTACTTTTGAAGTGGTGGTGACCCCAATAGCATATGTCTCATCAGGAACAAAAGAAAACAGGAAAAGATAAAATTAAATAAATGAAAGGAGAGCTCCAACAAAATCTTTACGAAATCAGACTTAACAAAATAACCCACTTGTTCAAATCTCCATTTTATGACTTGCCCATGTTATTGTCGTAGCAAATTTCGGGTTGTTACTGCAACTGCATAATAGTCAAGTCAATCGCGTTTTCGAGAAACATGCGGACCCCGGACTGGACCGCACAGAAAAGCACGAGCTCTCGTGCAGTTCCGGCGCTGTGATCGACTCTGTCATTCCTTCTGTCGCGTCCACCACATGATAAGTTCACGCTGTGCATTTATATATTTGTTTGCCAATATCGTACAAAATACATTCGAGTGTCACACCAAATAGTAAGTCGGAGTCTGCATCCCAAGAAATGCTTCTATGAACAAACCCAGAACTTGTTTCTGCTGCAGTGTTCAGTTCTGAGGTGGCAAGAGGCATTTAACGAGCTTCAAAATAATCCCATTAAAAGAATTAAAGAATCAGGCCAGCACAACAGTTAAAGAAACAGGATGAATTCCCTGCTGTTCTACACCCCACTCATCAAGATTCTTTAACTCTATACTTTATTATGTACCGCCACTGAATCATATTCCCTTCAGAATTAGTTAGTCAGTACTAGCGAGTCAAACCTACAATGGTCACTACACTGAACAACTCTTACATCTACCAATTGTGTTGCTCATCAAGTAACAGGACCTAGACAGACTACATTGCGAGTGGCCAGAGTGAACAAAACTGAGAACTGGATTCGATCGATATAATTTAGTCCCTTTTGGTGCACATAGTGCCTATCCATCGACTTGTATAGACTCACTAACAACACGATGGTCGGTCACAGTGCAAGAATTATGTATATGGTTCCGGTTCTTCCTAGTTCTTGGCAAGCCTATAAGTGAGTGTAGCTGACTTGTTCTGTCAAATTGAGCCTAGGCGATACTTTTTGCGCGTCGAAAGTCTCGTACATAACAATTTCCTAACAAAGTAAAGCAGGAGAAATAACTTTACCTGGGTGGCCTTGATGATGGCCCCCCGGGCCAGGTAAAGGGTCATGTGGCTGGTGAGGCTGAAGCTGCCGGTGAGGTACACCCCGGGAGGGACATAGAGGAGGGTGCCGCCCCTCCGCCGTAGGTGCTGAATCCGGTATATTGCCTCCCTGAACGCCTTGGTGTTCACCGTCCGCCCGTCCCCGACCCCTCCAAAGTCCGTTATCGATATCTTGTCATTCCGGTACCTCATCGGCACTATCCCCGAGCACGTCACCATTGATCCTGCCACCCCCTCTAGCATAACGGACGCAACCGCGACAATCGCTAGGACAACGGAGACGTTGAACCGCACCATTCTCGTAATCTCGGGACTTAGGAAATGGCACTTCATTAGAAACCTCTCAGGTGGGAGTTTGGCGATTAGCACAGAAGAAGTCTGATTTCGAAATCGAGCCACAGAGAAAGGTACGAAAAGCGCTTTTCGGGAGGGCGCGGGAATGATTGGAAGATGATGAAGAAAAAATGGGAGAGGTGTGTGTCAGACTTACAGTGGTACTTAGGAGGCGAGTTACAAGGAGAAGAGTACAAAGAGAAACTGGAGCTGGTGCTCACAGGATGAAAGATAGATAGAGAGGGTGTGTTGTGAATATGGTGGGTCTGAAAACGATACAAGTAGAAGAGTCCAAACGAGGCTTTAGAGATGATTCAACTGCATCAACCAGCACAGAGAGCTCATTACATGAACCACCAGCCACAGAGAATCAGAGGGAGGGAGAGAAAGACAGTTGGTAAGATTTTAAAGGAAGAGGACGAGGTGAACATAGGCAGAAAAGCATGATAAGGCAGAGTAGAGGACAGAGAGTCACGAGCCATGGACCAAAATTGTCCTTCGGGCATGATTTTTGTAGACGTTGCCCCACCACCAATTCACCTTCTAAAAGTGCGAGTCCTTTTCTTTTCAATTTCTCGTTTTCTTCTTCTTTTCTTCTTTACCCTAATCTTTTTTTGAAAAGTGGGGAATTTTTCCAAGGTTGAAAGTAACAGCCGGGAAAGAAATGGGGATTTGGGCTAAACACTCTAAATTCCCAAATTCATGCTTGCCCCAAATTCGTTTTTCTCTAAATGCCTATCACGGTTATTTCAAATTCTCTAAATTTAAGTTGTATTTAATTTTGTCTATTTGAAAAACAACGTCGTTTTTTAAGAGGCTAATGTGAAATGTAACGCTTTCGCCCGCTGTGTTACATTTGCAGACATGTTAGACACCCGACACAAGGTATAGATGGAAATGCTAGTAGACGTCAATTTACACGATAGGTCAATGATTGCGCCTCTTTTTAGACTAATGAAAAGTTGTGTGATGCAATTGTCTAAAATTAATAAGGTTTCTATTTATGAAAATTCAAGATTTAATACATGACTATGGCAGGGTTTGTTCTCTCTAGGATAAGGTAAAGGAGCAGAATCATGGCCCGTGATCCGGCAGAATGCCATCCAAAGCCGGTTGACAAGATCGCATTACCCTGTTTCGTACAAAACGAGACAGGTTGCCATTGCTCTTTTTCTGTGCGTGCTTTCAAAAGGTTTGATATTGCACAATAATAAAACCAAGAATTCACCGATCCATCATCATCTTTTATCTTGGAACGTGCCGCGATGGAGGGTGCTCCATGTGCACTCACTACACTCCACAGCACGGGCTGCGCTCCCTTTTGTCATGCCAAGCACTCTAAAAGCCTGCCTGAGTCAGGCTTATTTCAGCCATTTTCACCCTCCGTAGCCACCTTCTGCATCCGTCGTCCTCCTCATCGCGGTAGCTTTTCTCGGTCGTCCTCCGTCGCCCTATCCCTAAAGCTTTGCTTATTTCACATTGACAGGGCGGTTTACAGGTAGCCATAGCAACTAATCGACCTGGAAAATTGGAACGTCCCATGTTATTTTTTTCGGATAAAAAAAAGGCTGTGTAGGTGCAAATAGGCCAATGCGCACTCATAAAGATGGTATGCTCACGCGTCAAAAGTGGATGGCTGTTGCATATGCATTTCCATTTCTGGAGAGCGACGAGCAAAGATTGATTCGAAAGTGAAGAAGAAGGACAAAACAGCTGAGGCCGAGGAATCAAAGCTTGTTACAAATTCACGGTATGTGACTGTGTGTCCTCCAAGATAATGGTCTTCACATGTTCATGTCATCCTCTTCTCGCCCCCATCTCAAACTCTGAGTTGGCCTTTCTTAACCTCATGCAGTGCCCTGTCAAAAGTGTCATGTGGTGGGCATAACATGTACATTGCACTGGCAAACCTAGTTAATTATTGTGTTTAAGGCAAATTGTATGCATTTCGCATGTTGCTAAGAAATGGGTTTTGGCTTATTCAATAACTTAGGGACTAGAATTCAAGAATCTGATTGTTCTGCATTAACCAAAAAGAAAATCACCCAGTGCTCTGTCTGCTCCACTTTGTAGTAGGCTGGGCATCACGTGGCCCATCATCGGCGGCCCGATAAGCCCAATAGATACTCATGGATGGACAATCAGACCCATATAAATGCATGTGACTTCCTTTGCTCGTGGCCAATGTTGACTTACAACAATTCCTAGATATTCCATATTGCTCTCTCTAATATGATGTTGAACATTTTTTTCTTTTTTTTTTTTGATAACCGAGGTGTCCGCGCGGCCAGCGAGCTAGGGTTCAAACCAGCGGTGATGCCCGACTAGTCCTCGAGGGGGGCTAGCGCAGCATCCCACTGCCACGACCCCCCACTTAAATCACCGATGGGCAAGTTTGAACCCAGGACCTCTCATGAAAGGAACTGAGCGTAAACCAACGCGGCCACCGATGGGTGGGTATGTTGAACATTCTTTTTAATGTCATTCTTTTCAAGATGACTTGAGTTTGGGAGGTGATATGAGTTATAGGGTTAGAAGATAAACAGTCTTTTAATCTGCATGGAATGGTCTTATGTTTTGCTCATCATTCATACATAAAATTTTTTTTTTTTTTGGGTCGAATATACATCAAGTTCAATCGCAAGCTAATTAGCGTTCAACAAAGTATTATGACAATTCGAGGTAATGACAGATAGTTGATGAATAAGACAGTCCAATATCATAATATGACTCTAGAACATCCCTTCCTACCAAAGCTAATTCCCAATTTGTACTCCAAAACAAAAGGAACAAGCTAAGCTGCGACACCGAGACTTCTATTTACAATTTGGCACAACTAACAGAGATCATCTACCGAACAAGATCACTCCTCAATCACAGATTCACCCGAAAAAAGAATTGCAAATACTCTTCCTTTCAATTAGCAAGAATTTCCCAAATCAACTCCGCATCGAAGGACGGCATCATCTCGAGCGAATAGCCTTCGCCCTCCAATTCCGGCCCCGTCGAACCGGCTGAGATGGACGAATTAGAATTAACAAGCCTCCACATGTCCTCTTCTTCAGAGCAACTCGGGGACAGCATTACTTCACTTCCCAGTGAAGATGACGATGACGACGAACATGACGTGGCCTGCATTGCCGACCCCTCGCCCTTCCTCGCGCTCCGCCTCGCTCTCTCCTTCCTTGCCTTCTCGCATATCGCGTGGATCTTTGCGTCCACGGAGCTCCTCACGGCGTTCAGCCTTTTGCTGTCAGCGAGCCCTGAGTCCTTCAAGTCCTTCAGTTCGGGGAAATTCAGTCGTGCGTACTCGCCCCTCAACTTGTACGCGGCCCGGTCATACGCGTAGGCAGCGGACTCGGCCGAATCGTAGGTTCCTAGCCACACTCTAGTCCTGTTCTGGGGCAATCTGATCTCTGCCACCCATTTCCCCCAGTGCCTCTGCCTCACTCCTCTGTAAAGCTTCTTCTTCGACGGAACAAGGCACGTGCTCGTGTTGTCGCGGCACTGAAAAGCTGGTTCCAAAGCGGTGTGAGTCAGAGACGTGTTTGACTTGTTCCGATCACAAAACTTTTGCAGAAGATCTCTGTGGAGCAGATAGATTGAAGAGCCTAATGTTTCCAGAACTGGGGTGTTATCAGTGGTTGGATTTGTTCGGTTTGAGTTCGAGAAGATCAAGTCGAGAGTGTTGGAGCCGAAACCTTTCAGAATGAGCTCCGAGAGTGAGGAGGGAATGTTTCCACTGTCGTTGTGGTTGGTGCAAGTGACTGGCCGAAGATTCTGAAGGATAGTTTCCATTTGCGAAACAGAGTTCTGCTGAAACCCTCAATTAATGGAAAAACAGAGGAATTACAGGGTACAGGATTACCAAAGAAAATTAATCCTGTTTTCCTCAGGAAATACGAGTGAGAACGAAGAAATCGAGTGCGAAAAAGACAAGATTTCCAGCTGAAAAAGGCTGATTTCTCAGATTGTAGAAAAACTCAGAAAACGAAGTGCATAAAAAACAGAGGATTCACAGCAGACTTAGAGCTGAAGAATGCTTTGAACAGAGAACAGATCACCCAGTTGAAGAATCAGGAGAAGACCAAGATGAAGAAGAAGAGATTGAATTGCAAAATTTGAGGAGAAGACTGAGACTGATATTGTGTTCCCCAAGTTTGACATTTGGAGTGTATTTATAGCTGCAGGTAAGGGGAAGTCGTCGCAATACTCAGCCAGAGGATTTCACCACAAGATGGCGATTGTACCCTCAAAAGAAAGCCTTCTTGGGATGGAGTCATGATGGAATTAGGGGATGTTGGGGAGGGTGTGGAGGTAACTGCGTGACAGCTGCACAGCTCAAAAGCATTGGTCGTCCCTCGTCAGTTTGACTACGCGAAGTCGCCACGGGGCCAGACTCGGGCCACTGGAAGAAAAAGCTACTTTTTGAATTAAGTGCAGTGGATCGAGTCAGCTCCTCCTGTTTTCTCCCAATCGTGTCGTCTCATCTCGTGCACGATAAACTTTTGTTCTAAGTCTCTTCTATTCTCCCGACGTTAGGCACGGCCTCGAGCTATCCTCGTATCTGTATTTTTGCTCAATGATGTAAATTACGTGTTAAAACATGGCATGAGGGTTAACCCAATTGTTGAATGTCTATTGATTGATGCGGTTCAATTCAATTCGAGAACATAAGGAAAAAGGCGCAAAAAAAAAATGCAATCAAATCGGTTAGATTGTAAAAGATTACTTCATATTTGCAGCCCAAACTCTATATAATATAGTGCCGGTGAATGAAGATTTTATCGAATCCTTGGAGTTGGCTTATTGGTTAATGAACGGATATACGTATGGTGATGGAAGGCACCGGAAGCCGTGCCCGATCAACTTTCAAACAATTCTTCATCATCTATTTTCAACACCTAAGGTTATCTATAATCAAAACTCATTGCTTAAATTATGAATGATTGTTTTTTTAAGTTTAAAGATTGTTTTTTTAAGTTTAAAGCTCCGTATTTAGCATTAATAGGAAGTAGAGACCAAGGCTTCGGCGAAGTTTCTACAAGTTAATGCCCGTCATAGCAAGTGATAATTGATTTAAAAAGGAACTATAGCACATCTTGATTCTTGATTTGATTGCTCATGAAAAAATATTGTCAAGGCTACATTCTTTTCCTAAGAGTTCGAGAAAATTTCATCCAGCCGTGCATTTGATGGATAGGCTAGAAGTTATGGACACTGCCTACGCTTATTTTGTTTTCCCTAAAAACAAATGTGGTAATATCTATGTATATAATACATTAATTAGAAGGTCGATTGGTCCAATCGAGAATGAACGAAAACATGACTCATATTAACAACACGGATGTATATACTAGTGTTAATGCATGTCTATGCACTCCCGCGTGTGTGCAAGAGGAAAAGTTGCTAGTTGGAGAGAGAGAGAGAGAGAGAGAGAGAGAGAGAGAGAGAGAGAGAGAGTTACATGATTAATCACATTACTGACTTCCATGGTCTTGTTTTGTTTACTTTCTAAACAGGGCTTAAGGCTGTATTTGTACAGGCACCCATGAAAGAAAATATAGACAACAAAATGGACAAGTGTATTAAAAGTCTTAAAATTTATCACGAAAGTGTAATAAAGTTTTAAAACTTGTCAAATTGATCTAATCAAGTCATTTTGTTGATTGCACTTTTAGAGAGTTTTAGGACTCAATTATACTTTCATAACAAGTTTTAGGACTTGTTTGGACTTTTTGAAAGTTGTAGGACTTGATTGCACTTTCATAATAAGTTTTAGGACTTGATCGCACTATTGAAAAGTTTTAAAACTCGATTGCACCTTCGTGACAAGTTTTAGAACTTCCAATATACTTATTCCCAAAACCAAACATGTCACGGTTTCCAAAAAGAGGTCCAGGATCGCTCCTACACGCGGCCAATTCTCAATCCTTTCCCGGTACTGTTTCAATGGGAATGAGAGAATTAGACGCCAAAAGCAATCCAATCGACCACTGATTGAATCATCGATTCGCATTCTTTGACCTCTTCAATTCGAAATAAATGGTCACAAAGGGGCGCCATCACAGATGTCAACCGATAAAGCGGGAGCCTTTCGAGGTCGGTGATGATGCCAAATGCATTAAAGATGGAAAGGGGGTAGTAGAGTTTCTTCTTTTAGACTTTCGAAAGGGGAAGCTCGTGAAAGGACCCACGCCTTCATCTTCCAAAGATGGCCTGAAAATGGACTCTTTCTCCATGTGAACCGACCCACCCACCATCCCGGCCATAAGTCAAATGCCGTCATTCCGATGTTATCCTTGACTCGAATCTCCCTTGCCGGTAAATAAGACTAGGAGGTGACAATGAATCATCCCCTTCCCATTTACGTTACAAACCGTCCAATTTAACATCGCAACCCTCAGTCGCCTGTCTCCATATCCACTGAAAATTATCAAGAGGAAGGGAGTTTCAGACTCCAAGATGAAGGACGAAACTCAGAATGATACTACACATACGAAAAAGGCAGATACGTAACTTGATTTGGTTAAATGATTTGATAGACGTTCCCCCAATATTAGCACAAATTATCTCGTAGAAGTGATTGGTTCCAGGATGTATAGGTTTTAAATTTCGAACTTGAAACCTACCATGTTAGAATCGACTCCAGTTTTTGGAACCTGGGAATAACATATTCTTTTGCTCCGATTTCAGGATCTACTAGAGAACTTGTTTTTCTTTTATTTCTTTTTTGGTTTCATTTTTTACAACAAAATAATATGAGTAACAAAGTGGTTCAAAGTAAAAGATGAATGAGAGCGAGTGAGCGAGCGAGCAAAGGTAAATCAAGAAGGAGCGAGGGTGAGCTGCGAACGAGCGAGGAGGAAGGTGAGTCGTGGGTGTGAGAGAGAGAGAGAGAGAAAGAGTCGCGAAATGGCTTAGTAAGATTGGAGAGAAAAATAAGGATTTTTACGCCTTATAAAACCGGTTCCAAATTTAGTTCGGTTCCCTGGTGATTCTTCACTCGGAACCAAGAACCGAACCAGTTCCCACTGGTTCCAAAATTTTGGAACCTGAAACCGGACCGGTTCTCAGGGCAGTCCGATCCGATTTTCGGATAGAACCGATCCGGTTGCACATCCATATTATCTCGTTCTATAACAGCTTGAAATTGGATTAGAATCGGTCAATTAGTGAATAGGGATAATGACACAAACAGTCCCTAAACTTTGACTCAATGTGCAATTTGGTCCCTGAACTTTTAATTTGTTCAATGTAGTCCCTGAACTTTAACATAATATTCAATTTGATCCCTGAACTTTTAATTTGTTCAATGTGGTCCCTGAATTTTTAATATGTGTTCAATTTAGTCCCTGAACTATATGAAAATGTTCAATATAGTCCCTACACTTGAATTAATGGAAGGACTACATTGAACATTTTCAAATAGTTTAGAGACTAAATTGAACACATATTAAAAGTTCAGGGACCACATCAACAAATTAAAAGTTCATGTACCAAATCAACATTGCGCTAAAGCTCGCGACTACATCAACAAATTAAAAGTCGCGATCAAATCGCACATCGAACCAAAGCTCGCGAATCAAGCTTTGCCATTTTCCCTAGTGAATACGGATCTTGCAGCAAGATTTGCTCAGGAAACCGAAGACCTCTCGAGATAAAGAGATGGGGGTTGAAGGGCATCGAGGTAAACTTACGTAATCAATGAAAACGCAAGACATCTTTGCCAGATTGTCGAAGAAAAAAGTAAGAATGAGGTACAGAGGGAGGGAGGGGGACTCCCAAGAGACGGGAACACGCAAAAAGTGAAGTTTTGTCGGCACTTGGGACTCGGTCCAAACACAGGTTGTCCCAGGCGCCACCGACTTTCCAACTGGCCCTCTCTCTCTCTCTCCCTCTCTCTCCTTCCCGTGTCGCGAGTCTCGCCGACCAGCTCTTCGAAATATCGCGAGTCCCTCTCTCATCGGTTACGTCACCGTGAAAAGCTGTTGCGTCACGGTGACGCAAGAGCCCAGCGACACGGGCCAGCCAGAGAGAGCGACCGAGCGAGCCCATGTTTTCATAGGAGCTTTTAATCAGTCCCAACCCAACCCTAAAAAAGCCCCTAGCATTAGCATATAGAGGAATTCTCATTTCAAGGAGTAGAAAATTTTTTTTTTAGCACGTACCAATTTTGGGTTGATGAAAACGAAATGCCTTGACATTTTATACTCGACAGATCGAATAGATGGATGCGCGACCGTTGTACTCTTCAGAACACCTAAAAGTCTGTCCGTTCTTTTCGATGTTGATCTAGTCGGTCTCGGTTTTTGTCCGGCGTATGGGAGTTATGGTAAGAACAACCGGCAGCTTCAATGGTGAAAAGATGTGCCGGGAAACTTTTATATTATGTGTGGGTGAATAATCCACGCCCGCAGCACCTCCAAAGTTACGGCAAGTTTTAAGATGCCGTCTCATCGAATTTGAAGGTTTTCTATTCATATGTTACCAAGCATACAATTTATACGTTACAACCGTATTACAAATACTGATACACCAAACGGGTTTTATTGTTGTTCACTTTTAAAAGGATGAGAATACGCTCGAGTGGTTGTACTCATTGCTTCAGAGTTGATGTGTAGCTTAATCGTGAGGATGCTCAAGTGATGGGCGTGTTCACCTACCTCGCTTAAGGCTTGAGTTCAAATCACACCATTTACATACTTTCTTGAGACCATTTTTGAGAGCACAAACCCGTGTCTCTGCGATGAATACCCAGTGTGCATGGGGGAGGACTGTTGCACCGAATGGAGATTACACGCAAGCTCTATTTTAATAAGGAGATTAGATTCAATAATTATAACAGGTGACACAAAACCTGTTGCTCTCTAGTTAATTATATCTTTCAATGACAATCCGCACAGCGCGTAGAAGTGTCTAATTTAATCCGAAACAACAGGAAAAAGGTGATGGATCTAAATCCTAAACTATATGTCCATCCAAGTTGTGGATTTTAAACTCTCATATCTCGAACAAAAAGCAAACTCACATCTCTGCTAGACAGATGCACTGGCCGAGTGCCCTTGTATCTGCTCCCTGGACCAGACCAGGAAGCACCTTAACTTCAAGTGGGCTTTAATCCTATGGGTTAATACCACGAAAAACCCTAAACTGGTACACTTGTGACACATTTACCCCAAACTATTTTTTTGACCATAAAAACCCCAAACCCAGTACACCTATGACAATTTTACCTCGAACTATTTTTTGACCATAAAAAACCCCAAAC